CTGTTTACAGTGCTGGCGCTCTGCTTCTTTTGATTCCATCACCCGATATCGATATCAACAGCTTTGATGGCGCCTGCAACGGTTAAATTTATTGCGGCTTGTAGTAATTGATTAACTTGATGGCAAGCTGCGACCCATTGTCAACGGTTCTGCTCTTAACCATCTGTTATATAAGCAGAAAAATAACAAAAAGCAACAAATTGGGAAAATAAGCATGTATAACATGTTACCCATTTAACACAAATCCATATTTTGAATAATTGTTATAAGTATTTTTGTATGGATTGGGCATGTGAAGGGTTCAGTATAGTTACGAGGCATCGAGACTCTTGACTAGAACTAAATCCACAATAACCAGACATACTATAGAGCTGCTTTGATCTCTAGGTCAAAGAAAGGAAATCTATAAAGTAATTGCCCTGAAGACGGTTGCCGTAGCGCATCTGATATAAATAGGCTTTACAAAAAATGAAAAATGCACTTAATCCATATCTCGAGCCTCTAAAAGCCTTACATGTTTAAAATTTTTTTGTTCTTCAGCGAATTTCATATTGTTTTAAATTTATAACGTTTACTCTATAATATTATTTCGAGTATAACTAAGCTGAGCTAAACTGAGAACTTCGTAAATAGTCAGAGGCTTTGAACTATTTATATTTCTCTACGATTTCGATATTGAGTCACTTTCGAGCGCTCGTCGCTTCATGTCGTAATCGTTAAGGTGAAAGTGTGAAATAATAAAAAGTATATTATCAATGCGGTTTAAATACACAACGACGTGAAATTATTATCGTTATGCTCGTACATAAAATATGTATTGTAAATAGAGCCGAGAGTTCGTGTTGTTGCTGCTCAGAGGCCAATAAACTAAAGCGATTGAACTCTTTATCGCTAGGGTTATATGTAAACAGACTTGTAGACAAGGCAAATATTGTAAATCTACTATAAAGCCGCAGATCAGACCGATTCGAAGCAGTGCCAAATTGAACTAGCTTGTGCTGGAGCAACAGAATTTATGAGTTTATGACCTTTATCAAAGTACGACACGTAAACGTTTACCTTTCCCACATGAGGGAAAACGCCTCTGAATCACAGAGCTACAAGTACTATTTCGATATATATCTATGACGATTAGACGAAAGGGATACAACAAAATATTAGAGTCAACAACATTGAATGGTTATGTTGGGCAGTGTTGTTGTTGTTGTTGTTGTTGTTGTTACTGTTACTGGTTGCTGTTGCTGTTGTCGGCGGCACAAACAAGTTGAATGGCATTGCAAATGCGCAACAAGAACTGCGGCGAGCGGGACTCTCGGCGGGCTGGGAAGATTTCCTCTGCTTCAGCAGCGGCAACAGCAGCCAAGTGCCAGCAGCAGTTTGATTGTTATTGCCAATGAATGAATGCACTTGCTGCCTTTTGTCTGTGAGGATTGCCTGCCCGGGCCGTTGCCAGACGAAACAGCAACCGACTCCAGCCGGCGACTTCATCTTCACAACAGCGCCAGGGGGCATGCAACACATTTTGCGGTCTGTTGCTGCAGCTTCTGCTGCCATTGTTTTCACTTATGCTGCTGCCCTTTGTTGTTGCGTAAGCCCAGGGGGTGTTGGTATTATTGTTGTTTTCCTGGCGCTGTTGCGGCTGCTGCGGCTGCTCTTGCTGAAACATTTGGTATTTACAAATGTGTTGGCAATGAATTTGCCGGCATGCCACAAACAACATATCCGTTTGGCATTATATTGCGACACCCAGCCCGCACCCAAATGCACTCCTACACGTCGTCCGTTTGATTCTGGCAAATGCAACTCCAAACTCATTGTCACTGACATTTTCACACTTTCTTTGGAGTGGGCCAGAAACTCGTTAGCTGACTAGCAGATGCTTCCTGGCAAAGGACATCCCTTGCATTAATCCTTGTTTTTCTGCTGTCGATGATTTATTGATATCGCCCCGCTGCTCTGGCTTCTATGAGCAACCGATTACAACCATAAATTTAATAGACATTTTAAATTCAACTCAGCTTACAAGGTCCAAAATAATTTTTTTAAAATCACCATAAGCTGGCTTGAGAAATAAATTACATTTATATTGGATATCATTGATATATTGATTCCCATTACCACTAAGTTGGGGTGGATTTTGTGAAAAGTTTCATTTAACCGCTTTCACGATTTTTCCACACTTGCGAGTGGAACTTCCCAAAGTCCTGTCTTAGCAAGCATCTTTATAACATGAGGTACCTTTAGTACTCATTCAGCCAATCGGTCAGTCATACAAATATTCATCGATTGACGATAATAGCAAATGTATTTAAGAAAAATAATCTCGATACAACTACAGCCAAAATGCGTGTACTACAACATTTTGCATGCTCCACATACTTTATAAGAGCAATCCGTTGAAATTTCAACACTCTTTTGATAAAAAAAAATAATAAAAAACAATATATTGGCGCTGCTGGCGATTTTGCATTGTTCAGGTGCTGAAATACAACATAACTACATAAATTAATGTACATACAATACATGTAGGAAGCTCGTACTACAAGCGTAATAACAACCGATGCGAGCCAGTGTCGACAGCAGGAATCGCCACTTCTTCAATTGATTTTGAAAGAGGCAGCACGAAACGGCTTTGTTGGTGGTCAGGGCTCACTGCTGCAACTGGAGGGAAGTGTGGGGCATAAAACGAAAAACATTTGGAACAATGGACTAACGAATAACGAGGGGTATTGTGTGGTACCATATTGAATAAATTGATATCGGTTGAAATTGGTATTGGTATTGACAGGCGAGACAGGGAAGAGAGAGAGAGAGGAGAGAGAGAGAGACAGGGAGAAAAAAATTAAAATCGTATCAATTGAAACCAGTTTCGATGTCGTTGTTAACACATGTTGGCCGAGAGTTAAATGTGCCGCCAATTGGCAGACATATAAATTTTCAAATGCCAGCAACAGGACTTCAGTAGGCCTTGGCTTAAAGTTAAAGCAGTTGTTGTTAACTGTTTAGTCAGATTCATTTTTATTTCGTAAGTCAACGAGCACCAAATAAATAAAAATTTGAAAAATTCAAGTGGTTGCACAATGTCAAACCTTCAAGATGTACCGCTTGCCGAGCCAGAAGACTTGCCAACAATTGAACAGGACACAGCCGGATCGAAATCCAATTCGCTGAAACGCTTCTTTAAGCTTGGCAAGAAGTCGAACACAAGCCAAGAAGCAAGCGACGAGGTGACTGAGCTGGAAGATGAGGCCAACAAAGATCCTGCCAAGCCGGGCAGCATTAGTCGTTTACTTACACGACTGAAGGGCAACTCCAAGACAGGTAGCTAACCAAATGACACAAACTGATAATCCAAACTATACTACATCATTTAGGCAATGTACAATTTGTAGAACAAAACGAGCCCACTTCCAGCAACAACGAAACGGCCGTGGAGGAGGCTGCTGACAAGCCGGTGCCAAACCTAAAGCCCACAATAAAGACATCGATATCAGGCTATTGGAAACAGCTATTCCACCGCCAGAAGGTGGCCAATCGGCAGGAACAGAAATCGGCAACGGATCAAGAGACAATCGAGTTGCAGGACGAACCGCAGGAATCGATGGAGCCGCAACAAACTGATTCGATTAATGCCGAAGAGGGGCCCACAACAGCAGCAGCAGAAGCCTTGCGCGAGGATATCATTCTAAATGTGCCAGAAAAGACGATGGATAACCAAACAAATTGCATTCCCGAGATTATCGAGGAAGTTCAAATGCTCGCCATTTCAGATGAGATTGCGGATCCATCGAATGATGACAACAAAAAATAGGACAGGGTCACAGTTTCGACCAACATAAATTTATTGTTATCCAGTTTTTAAGAGCCTGCCAGCCTTCTGCCACACACTTCGTACACATTTTGAAAAATCCCGACTATATACATATACACAAAGACACATATTAAACACATTAGTTCATCTGCAGTTCAGCTTTAAATTGAGTCCAAAATGCTGAATAAAGCACATTCAAATAAAATCAATATCATAATGTTTATTTCTATTAACGTCTTACAACCAACACATTTACAGCCTGTAAACCGATTCCAGCTTGGCTGACGAATCAGTTCACAAAGTTCAGTTAAATCTGTTGTTAAAGTGTCGCCTGGCTTAAATTTCCCCCTTTTGGTTTTTTGGTGCAGGTCAAAAGGTGCCGCATAAGCCAGACAAAAGTCTCGGGCAACCCCTAAATATTTGCCCACAGTTTTCACTTTCCAAAGAAGCCATACAAAACCGCCCCTAAGGCTAAACAAGGAATTGCAAGTGTGTGTTAAATTGTAAATTAAAATTTAAATAAAATACCAAAATCGATTAATAGCAGCCAATTTAAAAGCGAAATATAACAAATATAAATCATTCAATGAAGAGTTGGAAATATAATCGAATTATATAGAAATATATAAAACTATAGAGTTTGAAATAAAAATTGTTTTAAGGTCAATAAAACCTCTTAAGCTTAAATACTTTCTCACATATCAAAAAAGTTTAAAAATTTGTTTCAAAATTCTTTAAGTGTGATCAAATTGATTTTTTGAAATTAAGCCCAGATCTCTAAGTACTCCAATGAAGGCTTTCTTTCTAGCCTAATTGGTTTAAGATCAAAACATTCACTATCGACACTCAATATGATTATGATATATCTGAATTGTAGAATTATTTAAAATATCTCCAAGAGCGAAACTTGTTGCATTTAAAAAGAACAGCTGAAATAATTACAAACAATACGGATTAAGTGCGCAAACTCAACACGAAACCATCTGACAAGGGACACCGTAAATATTTACACGAGAGCAGACCAAAACAAACACTTGTTGAACTAGCCGCTGAGTTGGAAAAGCGGAAAAGCGCGGAAAATGCGCTATGCGAAGTAAACATTGGATATGCGCATGTCCCAGTTGCAGCTGGTTTTTCGGGCCTCCTTGGGGTGAGTGTTCATCAGCAGTGAGAAAAGTGGGTCAACGCCGCGACACGGCATGTTTCGGCCATAAAATGTATTAAAATTCTGCTTGGAAATTTACTAAAATCCGTATATAAATGTGTAAATAGCAGCTACAATGAACAATTTCATAAGTGATAAATGGACAAGTGTTTCAGAGTCGAGCACTGACCGCAGAGCCGCCTTCCATCAGACAGATTGAAAAATTCTTTCACAGATACACACCACAAACTCTGAGAACACATACGGAGCACAGTTTAGTTATAGAGATTTTTCTTTGTAGTCAAGGTGCGACGTCAAACCCGTAAAAAATTGCAAATTTATTGAAAAAACTAACAATTTTCGAGGTAAGCTTATAAGAAACACAAAGCCTCAACTCCAAGCAATTGCACACATATGAAGTTTATGATTATTCAGTGAAATCTCTTATGATCGAAAGCATTTCCCAGCATCTCACATAGAGCCTTATACAGATTACGTAACGTTCGTGCCCTATGAATGTGAAGAGAAACAAATTATTTAATTGATTTTTTATACAATTAATATAGAATGCGAAGTCCCTCGGCAGCAGTTTCGGCAATGCAAAGGACTTGTCTGATATAATGACTGGCAGCTTCAGGGTGCAACTCATCAACATGGGCACTCGCGCTGCCGCCTGTAAGTATGCCACAAAAGTCTCGAGTGACAAGTTTCGGCTGTATACCTTGTACCCATGCAAATGAAAGATTTCCACCGCAAATTTAGGTTTATCTCAAAACATCGATAGGTTCTGCCGTCCGTCCGTCTGCCTGAAATCAAAAAGTAACGACTTTCCATTCATGGATAACTCCCCCGACTCCCCCCCCACAAAATAAAAATATATATTTTGGGGCGCATGGCCATTTTATTATTATATATATATTATTTGGAGCCAGATTCAAGCCCCAAAATTTCCATGAAGATTTCTTTTTTGTATTATTATTATTAAGTGTAGAGCCTGTACAATCAAAAATTTAGTACCTTAACAGCACATGGATGAAAAATGTAATTTAGAGCCGAACCCTAAAAAGCAGTATGAGGATTTGAACCTTGTTTGGCTTGCAAACATGCAAGTTATTTAAAAATTGATTTCCTTTTTTCAATAAGAAAGGAAATGCGAAGGCTTGAAACGACATCTCGGCGCTGGGTACAGGGTATCTGCATGTCTGGCATACCCAACTAGAGCACTTTTACTTTTGTTTATTTATTACAGTTCAGGCAAAACTGAGAGCCCTTCATGAATACCATGTACGCCTCTTGCACAACGTCTTACCTGCGCCCTCTGGCGTCGATATTGCTAACAATATCAAATACTTTTCTCAAACTCTACTAAGTAAGTTCCCCAAATACGGAATCCTCGCTGTCGCATTATCAACCTTCTATCTTTTGCAGCTGTCCTTAAAGATGTGCGCACCTCTCCGCATGAGCTTATCTGCGATCCTCTCGAAGATCCCACACGCATGTCCGCCTACCCAAATCTCGAATATGGCAATCTCTATAATGCCTTAACCATGCTCATTGATGTGGCACCCTGTATACAGTATGGCCAAATCGGTGAGACTTCAAAGGGAATATAAAAAACCGTACAAATTTCTAATCTTTCTTAATGTTTTCAGTTTTCGGCAAAGCTTTGCTACAGTGTCTAAGCTGCATATTACCCTTTCTCGATAAGGATCTTATTGATAATCTACCCTATCTAGTTAGCTCTACTATATCTGTACTACCGCCAGCCTTGCATCAGGATATTGTCAATGCACTGTGCTACTATATCTTACCCTTTACCATAAGTATGTTTGAACTTAACAATTCCAATGGCTTATTCTAATAACGTTTTACAACATATGCTAGCACGTCGCAGCGCCGATGAGCAGGAATGCCAAGCCTGCCAGTCTGTCTCCTCTGTCATCATGATGGTACTGCAATACTCGAAAAATCCAGGTAGGTTGGCTTGGTTTATGTAATAGATGCGTATTTAAACTGGCCTCATCTCTTAGCACATCACTGTCAACTACTGGAGTGTCTGATGACTCTGAAGCATAATGTGGTCAAGGACATACTCTGCGTGGTGGCCTATGGCACTGCTGTTTCCCGTTCCTCCGCTGCCAAGCTGCTCTTCTACTACTGGCCCGCATTTGATCCCAATCTTTTCGATCGCAAGGTTCTGCTCTCTAAACTTACCAGTGAGTAAAAACGTATTACCATCCTATAGATAACTGACAAAGAAATTAGATTATTCGCTAAAATGAAAAACTAGAATTCTAATCAGAATCCCATTCGGTTCAAATTCGATTACTTACGAGAGTTTCTTTATCTTCATTCATTATTAAATGCAATATATAATTTGTTGATTTTTTCGCCGATTTCATGGATTGAATATATAGTCCAAGTTTTTATTGTCGAAAGTTAGAACTTCTATTGAATTGGATTTTAATTAGTTTTGAAAATCTATCTATGGGCTATCCCCTCGAATAGATGACTTGCTACCATTCACCTGTCAACGCGATCAATGCCCCAATGCTGGCAATGCCGAGGCCGCCAAGGTATGCTACGATCATAGCATTTGCATCACCTATGCACAGGACTGTCCGCCGCCATTGTATCTGTGCATCGAGTGCGCCAACGAGATACATCGGGAGCACGCTAATCTGGAGTTTGGCGATATACTGCATCCCATGCAACAGGTGTCCATGGTGTGCGAGAACAAAAACTGTCGATCCAACGAGAAGTCCGCCTTCTCCATATGCTTCTCGACCGAATGCGCCGCCTTCAACGGCAATCATCCCATTCGCTATTGCGCCCAGTGCCACAGCAACCGTCATAACTCCCGTCGCGGTGGTGATCATGTGGTGCATCGCAGCCTGCAGCCAGCCTGGCAAATGGACCCGGAGATGCAAATGCACATGGTCGAGTCGGTGGTCAGTCTGCTGCGAGAGGCCAAGCCTCTGAACTTTGAGCCGGGCAAGGAGTCCCCGTCGGAGACGAAGAAGAACGGCGCTGCCCTCACACCGGACAACATTTCTCTCGAGGAGCGTCAGATGCTGGGCCGCTATGGCATTTGGTTGCTGGTAGGACGTTGTACTCCCACCGTCGATACACCAGTCGAGGTTCTGGGACGCATTCTGAGCATGCTCTTTCACTGGTTCCATGTCACGGCCTATTCATACGATGGTAAATGCCCAATGAAGCGATCGGCCCAGACACAGTCCAGCTAATTGTACTCTTTAATTCACAGCTGCTGGACAGATTGAGAGCACCATAGAGAAGCTTAAAATGGATCACGTCTGCGACTGGCTAAAGGAGATTTGTCGCATACACTACAACGTGTTCATCTCCTGTCTGCTGCCGCATCCGCCAGAGTACGCTCGGGTGGGTGGTCACTGGGAAACGCTCGCCTCACGCACCAGCCACCTGAAGGAGGGTCTGCAGCGTCTGATCTGCCTGGTGCCCTACGAAGTGATCACCTCGGAGATATGGGACTATGTGATGCCGCACTGGATGGAGGCCATTACCAATGATGTGGCCGAAAAGGAGCTAAACGAGCTTAAAATTGTGCTCAGCAAAATACTCGATCCGGAAATGTCACCGCTCGGCTTCGATGCCAAGACCATGTACAACTTTGTGGCCATACGATTCGAAAAGACAACGGCCAAGGTGCAGCAACAGGCGCTCCACTGGCTGCAGATTCTCACCAAGCTGGAAATACTCATACCGCTCGTGCAGCTCTTTGCCATGTTCGGCGACGGGGTGCGCATCATGAAATACGGCATACAGCACGAGCTTATGCGGGAGAAGGAGAAGGAAAAGGAGCCGCAAACTCAACAGCAGGCAAAAGCGCCCAAGACACCGTGCAAGGAGAGCAAAGCCGAAATGGCCAATCCACCCAGGCGCAGTTCCATTTGTACGTAGCTAAGATCAGATTTCCGTTTGATAAATTCAACTGAATTTCCATCCACTTTTAGCGCCCGTTGTGGAGGATGACTCCGGCAATACATCGGCAATATCGGACGATGAGGCGCCCACCAACCGGCACACGGAGTTCTCTACAGATGCCGAGCACAACTTAACTTGCTGCATACTCATGCTGGACATTCTGCTCAAGCAAATGGAGCTGCAGGACGTGGAGCAGCACATGGGCATACACACTAGCGTGTGCGAAAATGTCTCTCGCCTCATCAAGTGCATGGTAACAGCGGCCCGGGTGGGTCTAAGTAGTCACGTCTGTGCATTAAAGGCAAGTTATGCAGGACAGCAGCCACAGGTAGCTTAATCTGAGAACAACTCATTATAGGTGGCGGAGTGTGCCTACTGCGAGGCCTCCACGATGTGGCATCAGCTGTCGACCAAGCTGGTTGAGTTTATGGCCCCACTGCATCCTGTTAGACCACCCGATGTAGGTTTCACACATATTCCATCTATATATACTTAATAAACAGCTGAGCTCTCTCGACACCGTAGGTGCCAATTGAGGATATCATCGAAGAGGAAAAGTCGTCACGCAAATCGCCGCCCGAATCCGACAAAGAGAAATCTCGTGATCGTGATGTTTCGCTCTCCATGGCACCGTTGCCCATTCCGCTGGGTCCACTCGGAGGCTTTGCAGGTAAGTCTGGCTCTCTCCGAGCCCTTTTCAGTTGTTTAACGAAATTCGATTGTAAACTACCTCTCGAAAAGACTTCAAAGTTGTATGCCTAATACAAACCCACAAACCCCCCCGCCCTCTTATAAATACTTGTAACTAACCACCGTAAAAGTAATCCAGACAAAAAGTCACTCAACTTGTAGCTAAATCGTAGACTGTACATCATTGCCTGGACTATATGCAGGCGAATTAATGGTATGACGTCTTGTAAGCGTCTTTGTAAACAAATTGCTTAGTCTAAAACCCATGTTTAAAGCGCATTCAAAACGAGTTTTGAACCTAGAAACCTGCACTTGTTATGCTCTGTATACAGTTTTAACGTACCTAAAACCCAGACCCGATTAAAACGATCAAAAACTATTAAACAAAGTCGAGATAATACTTAACTTGAAACACATTCCATTGAGAACGCTGCAAACAACAGAGATCGTTATTAAATCTATAAAACGCATAAATTCTTATGGTTATACTTTTGAAACATTTTCCATTCTACTTATTTTGTCTCTTATTTAACTATCTAACTTGCAATCTCTATCTACATAAATATGTATATCTTTCTCTCTCTCTCTATCTCTAACATATACTGCGCGTCCACTGTATAAAAATTACTAACGCTCGCTCGCTCGCTGTCTCGCTCGCACACGCACTTTTCTCGCGCGTATCAACCGTCTGTCTATCTCTGTCACACACTGTCGCTATGTCGAAACTCTCGGTCTATATATGATGAATTATTAACTTGCTCTTTTAAACAATAACAAACGTCAACTGCTCATCAAAAATACTAAAAACTTAAATTTACAATCTATCAATCATTATCAGATATCTTTAAGCTAGATCAATTCTTTTCAGACGATGGAAAAATTATTATAATGGCAGGTGATGCACCAACAGCAAATTTATCATTTGTTAAAAAGAAAAACAAAAAAGAACACACACACAAAAAACAACAAACACAAATTAAAATAATCAACTATTTGCATTACATTACTTACATTGTTAATCAGTTAAAAAAAAACATTTCGTTACAATTGATATACATTTGAGAAATACTCTACCCAATACTCTACCCAATACTCTACTCAATACTCTACCCAATGCTCCATCAAATACTCTACCAAATACTCTATCCAATAATCTACCAAATACTCTACCAAATGCTGTACCCAATACTCTACCAAATACTCCACCAAATACTCTACAAAATGCTCTACCCAATATTCTACCCAATACTCTACCAAATATTCCACCCAATACACTACCCAACACTCTACCAAATACTCTACCCAAAAGTCTACCAATACTCTACCCAAAAGTCTACCAATACTCTACCAAATACTCTACCCAATACTCTACCAAATACTCTTCCCAATACTCTACCAAATACTCTACTCAATTATTCTACCCAAACATTCCACCCTCCAACAGACAGTTAACAATTGCACTTGCTCCTTTTTGCCAAATAAGAAACACACTTCTATCCAAGAATGTCTGTTTAGCTTTCTAGCATATAATTTAGCATACAAGCTTTTAAATACATATTAGATGATCTTTAAAGTAGTACCCCAAACAGCCTACTTATTATCTTTCGGTTCGGTAAAATACTTCACACAAAGGCGACTTTCACTACACAGATAAATACAAAGTCCACAATACAAATTCCACACCCAGCGTAGCCGTCAATGCCTTAAACAAATTTTGATGATCTATCATTTTGAAGAATATATTCTTTAGGAATTTTCTCAGTAGAATGTGTGCACATGTGTGTCCAGTTTACGAGTCTTGAAAAATGTAAAAATAACTTAAGGATATTTGAATTAAATTTAAATTAAATTTTTGAACTGCACACACATCGGCATAGACCCCAATTGGAAATAGAAATTCAAAAAAAAAAAAGTTTAAAGCTTGCATGCAATCTTTTATCAGCGAATTTCCAAATTGTATCGTGTGAACCATGAGAAATGGAAAGCATTCTTAGGATTTATACTTTTAGTGTATGTACTTGGATGCATGCCCGAATTAGTGAATGCAATAATGAGTTATCTTGACCACTTAAATAAATTCAATTTGATTTCTAGCAGAGTTGTGCAATTGACGAACGCATCCAAATACAAGCGATTACTAATCCCATATATATATATATATTCTCTTTATCAAGGTCCCATGCCCGTGGCCGTGCCCCAACCAGAGCCGCACTCAGTGGGCGGGGTGCTCGTCCATATGCCCCACGTTTGTTCCGTATGTATTTGGCAGTATAATGATAAGTATTAGCAAATCTTATAACTCACGTTCTTTGGTTAACACCCTTAAATGGCGAATAATATCGAACTTGAAAGTTTTTATATATATTTACCATACACCACAAAACAAATAATAATAATAATAACAAGAATAAGACAAGCAAAATAAACAGCAAATATTATGCGTTTATGTAGGTATCTAAAAGAACAACACCCTGTATACTTTTTGAACATATTATAAATATATTTATAAATTCATTTATTACAGCAATTTAACAATACTTATTTAACGTGAAGATTCAGTTTGATTTAATACAAACATTTATGCCTTTTTATTTAACATACAATCGAATTTACGAATCATTATCATTTCCGAAAGCCAAAACTGATCAACAATTATACAAAACTTTTCATTTCTACATATATTTTTTATAGAATAACGAAAATGGGCATTCAGTTGATAATAATGAATTGAGAAAAGTTCACGCCACAGACGAGGTACTTTGTGCATTCATTAACAAAACCCAAAGCAAAATTTAAATCAAGCATACAATATTTTTAATATTAGTTGTATAATTTGGCTAATTACAATCCCTACTCCATACAATTCGATATTTGTACATTTCTATTTTCTATACATTTTATTTATGTCCAAAAAACACCAAAAATGTGTGCTCTTCATGTTAAGTGTATATAAATTGTACAGAGTACTTATTCCTTTTACTTTCATTACGAAAAATTCTTCCTGAATTATAATTACAATTTTCTTTTTACATACAAAAGTCAAATAAGAACCAAAAGCAGCTTTTCTATGCATAGATAATTGATTTTAATGAATTTGGCTTTTCCAGCTTAAATACACTGCGTGCATATTATAAAAAAACATATAATAATTATCTTCATATCATATACAAAACAAATTGTGTATATGTCAGTTTTTGTAAAGTTTATTAGAAAATGTAGTTTTAGGTGAAAACAGAACAGAAATTCAATAAAGTGAACAATATTGAAGCTGAATTTCTTAATTTAATAATAATTTTAAACATCCGATTTACGATCCGATCCGATTTTAAATATAGTTGTCTAGTCTTATTTTTGTTACATTAGGAATTTAGGCCAAGGAATTTAAACTTTCAATTTTCTTAGTCGATTTAAACAATTTTTTAACTGTGTTTCGTATATTTAGATTACACTATTAGAAACATATATGTACATGTTTAATAGGTTTATAACAAAGTGCATAGCTTTAAAAAAAAAATCAATTTTTAGAATATGTTTTTCAAGTTTCTTTCCACTCCCGTGTCTCAAAGTATCTTGTATGTGTGTGAATATAAATTACAAAATACAGCAAGCGGAAAAAGCGTGTACGCTAATTCTAAATAAATGTACATTTTTTTTAAATAAATCTCCAAAATTTCTTAATTCATTTCTAACATATGTATATAAGTATATACATTACGTTTATTTCTACAACTTTTCCACGTACCTAAAAATGTTTCCTTTTGGTTTTCAATCAATGTTCAATAGCATGTTCCGTGTACAAGCACCATCACCAATATATGAAATACTATTAATGCACAAATACCCTTAACATTTTATGCAGTATTACATGTTTTTTGTGTAAATCATTTATGTAAATTATAGCCTTGTTTTTAAACGATAACGAAAAAAAAAAATGGATGCGTAAGTTTAAGCGAGCAACGTTTATCTGTGTACATGTGTACTCTTATGTGATGATTGTAATCTATCGTACAGCCACTTAATATGAAATACCCTGTAAATATGTAAAGTACTTTGTACAGATGTGTCACATGTGGAAGAGAGCCTTCATCTAAATGTTGAAACCTTTGCTATCTAATGCAGATCATGACGGCCACCGTAGAAACAGTTTCGGAGCAACTGGACTTGGCTTCCTTCCTGCCCACGGACAGGGCTATAGCACGGTCCATAACACTGTCCGATGCGGATGTGGGCAGCGCCAATGTCAGCGTCACCAAGGCATCCGTTATGGGTGAGAATGGCGCCAATGGCAGCACAGCCGGCGGCGGCGAGAATGGCAGCGGTTCCGAGGACGACGAGGAGGAAGAGGACAGTGATGATTTCTGGCACACATCGGTGGGCAAGTTTAAGTTCACGCTGGATCAGCTACCCCAACCACTGCAGTACATACACCAGTTGCTCACGGTGCGTATGTGTAATCAATAATTATAGAAATACCAACTGGTATTACCCGACCTTGCTCGAGTTGTTAGCTGAAGCTAAAGTTGAAAGTTTAAAGCTCAATGAATATAGAACCAAAAGGTGGATGGAATCAACATTTGCGGCTGGACATCCCAAAGCTTCGTTTTAGCTAGCAACTTTATCATATTAGGCAAAGGGGGAAAAGCTATATTTTTCGCAGTTTTCGGGCAGAATATTTAAGATGAGATCAGATCCATACAAAACTAACTTGGCCTGGGCAAAGTGGATAGTGTATTCTTGTATGTATATAAAGCTTATTATTTCTGCAGGAAATACCCACCATTAAGAAACCGGAGATACTTTATTATGTGTTGCAATGCCTGAAGACGATGGCGCTGCACGGCGATGCCTTGGCCAAGGCCGCCAAGGAGCAGCGCGGCTTCTTCATATGGTGCCAGGAGAATTTGTTAATCAAAAAGTGAGTATGGAGCTGCCGACAAATTTCAAATGAAATTTTATAAACACGTCTAATTTATAGCCTGTGGGAGCTGTGCAACGCGGAACACTCACACATCTGTCAGGTGGGCGTGCCGCTGCTGCTGCACTGCATCACATTGCCGCTGGGCTCGGACGTTTTCTGGCGCGTGGTGCAGGAGGCCTTTCACGATGCCGATTGGCGTGTCCGCTTCACAGCAGTTGAACGAGTAACCGTAATTACACGTTTTATGGATTCGACACCGCTGCGCTCCGAGGTGGGGCTCCAAACGGCAATGGCCACCGCCTTCTGTCATCTTATCGCCAGCATGGATGACATCAATGTGTATGTGGCGCAGCGGGCGACTCTCTACATCGGAACCATACATGATACGGCAATACGGTCACTGCTCTTCTGCTTGGAGTCGCAATTCGATCTGTTTATTGTCGATCGACCCGTGGTTCTGCAGTCGGTATATCAGCTGCACAATTCCCTATCCGATCGCAAGTTGCTCGGCTGGGATTTCTTTCTCAATCGCTTCGATACGCTCTTTGTGGAGGCGCAAATCAATCTGGAAAAGTGCGGAGACATTTCCTATCTGCGAGACTTACGCAACTCGGACAACGGCAGCGAGGCGCTCTCTGCCAAAATACTGAAAGCCAGAGAGGCACTGAGCCAGTCGGACACCAGCGGCAGCATGGCCAAGACCCTAAGCGCCTCCTTCGGCACCAAGTGGCCCTACAAAAGAACAATGTCTGCTCCAGCCAGCATGGCACCCCGCCAGGACTCTAAATTCGGTAAGCAGCGATAGAGTTTGTACGGAGAAGTGGTTGAAAATCATTATGCATTTGCAGTACCCGAAAAGGAGAAAATCTACAGTCGGCAGGTGTCGGCACCCATACTCAAGCGGAAGACTTCGCGCTTCGGATTGGGTCAGTTCCTAGGCAGTAGTAGTGGCAACCAAAATACCAGTACAGCTAGTCATAGTGTGGCCACAACTAGTATTACATTGCATACACGATCCAAAGCGCCACCGCCATGTCCCGTACACCATTCCCAACACACGGCCTTTCCCTATCAACCCACACAGCATCAACACCCACACACACACGCGCACCCACACCCACACGCACACCCACACCCACACGCACACCAACACCCACACGCACACGCACACCCTTCACAACACCATCCGCATTCACATCCCCAGTACGCTGGTAGTAGTGCACAAGTAGCTACGTTTGCCTCGGCTCATAGTCAAAGTCACCAGTATTTAGTGCATTGTGTACCGCCTAGTCATCATAGTCCAATGCCCACGCTGCAGGAGGCGGAGACATTGCTGCGCGCCCAGGCTGCCCAGCAAACAGCCTCCGTGCAGTCGAGCATGGCGTCCACGCAGCAACAGAGCGCAGAACAGTCGCGTACCATACAGACTACAGTGGTGGCAACGACAAGCGGTACGGCAACTTCGGGTAGTTGCTCGGTGGGTGCCGCTAGTGGCCACGCGTTTGCCACCTCCTTTCACTCCCATTTCCAAAAGCATCCTTCGGCGCCGAACTTGCTGCCGCTGCAGCCACCGGTGGCCGCGCCTAGTCCCAGTCCCTCGGCACTGGCCTATCCCATGCATTGCACTTGTGATGTCGCTCCGCAGCCGGGTGCCAACATAGCGGGTAACACGGGCAGCACCACGGTCAATCCAGGTAGGTTGTAGAGCATGTGTGTTCGCGTATCCAACAAAAAACTTTAGATGTCTTTGTTCTCTTCCCTATTTTCATTCCCAAATGGTGTGAGCTGTATGTTCAATGTACATTGTATAGTTCACAAAAATCTATGAAATCGCAAGCTAAAAAATTTAATTTCAATCTAGAAGCATTCTGTGCAATAAACCTACCTCCGTAGGAAACAATGGATCACTCCATCTAACTAACTAATAAATGATAAACATTCATATTTCCAGACGCTTTTGTGAATAATATAATATAATCGCTGGCTTGCCAGCGTTTCCTATGTTCCTATGTTCATCTCTCGCCTATATTCACATAACTTTTGGTCTCAAAACATTCAGAATGGGACTTCATCATCATTTTTTCACTTTCTATTTCCGCATGTTGCTAAAGTTTTTCTTGTTTTATATTCAAATCGAGAACCCGAAAAGTGAAAGTCTGCATGGAAAACATAAATCATATATCATATCTTATGAGTTTGCAGATAAGCTCTGCTTAGTTTGGTAAAGATATATAAGTATCATAATTTTATTTCGTATTTACGAAATTACTAATCATACAAGATTTAAAATTCCATTCCTATGTCCACTGACAGTTTTCCGACGATAAGTAAAAGACGATCGAATCGGCTTTAAAACTGAATATATATATATTCTTTATGTTGTCGAAAATGGCTCCTTCCTCATCTTAAAGGGTATTCATATTAAAAGGACCTGACAGTTTTAACACTTCCCTAATGCAATAAACTACATTAAACTATTGAATTAAAACTGATTTTAACAATTTATGAGCATGATTTAAGTCAAATATAAAGTAGCAAAAAATAATATTTTTTAATGAACGTAAATACCCAACCCGGAATATTCATCGTAGTAATTTCTTAGAGGAAAACTTAGGAGACACATATTAATATATCTTTATATTAATTAAAAATAACTATAAATTTTGTTTATTTACAAGACAACTTTTCATTTGGAATGTGTAGGTGTGTGTACTCGTTAATTGTTAACTTTGTTTTTTAGCAAATCAATGTTGATAAATGTGTGTAACTTTGTTTTTTTCACACAAAACAAAATCATTTTAAGTGTACCCTTCCGAACTGGTATGTATGCTCTTACGAACTTTTGTAAACGTCTCCTCCTACAAATACTTCCTACTCAATAGAAACACAAAAACACAAACCGAACAGATCAAATTCGAATTGTGCTCTGCTCCACAAACACTTGTGTATATATCTAATCGTACATACACACTATATATTGTTAATATACAAATTTCAATCTATATGTACGATTGGCATGTGGGTGTAAAAAAAAACCAAAAAACCAAAAAATTCAATTCGAAATCGATGTTTATTTCCCCATGCATGTGTGCAAAATGCATTGAAACTAATATGATGATATATTAAATTCCGATTAGATGGACATATTCACTCGCTGGGCGGACTCAACGATGAGAATCTTATTGGATTGCTTAGCCGCATTACGGAGCTGGAGGAATCGGATCGAGAGACAATTCATTTGCTCGTCTTTATGCTGATGCAGTTCATGTCGCGCACGGATCAAGCCTTTCCAACCGAGGACAAGCCCATGACGAGAACCCAAAATATTGTTTTGAAACATTTGTTCTTACTTCTGGGACACAATCAGATAGACAAGACTTTCCATACCACGCCCGAGTCGCTGCGGTAAGTTTGTTGAATTGAATTTCAATTGCAGATATTGCAACTTTTATATCTTTGCAGCGTTTCGGCCGTGTTCAATGCATTTTTGGCCAATTTGGCGCAAGTCTTGGATCAAAATCATTTGATTGGAGGTCTTATATTGCCGTCTGTCATGCAAATCATTCTGTATGCACCCAATCCGACAAACACTCCGGGCGAATCGTATCAGAATATTGTCTTCAACTATTCGCTGTGGCATCTGGAGCAGTATCCGCGCCGCAATTGGCTATTCACGCTGCTGGTCGTCCTCTATAAGTACTCCTATACACAGCCACCGCTCAGTGGATATGTGATCTCCGCCATTCGCATGATTATGAACAGTCTGCGCGGCCACTTCCATCAGTGCCGGCGCATTCCCACCACCACCGTACTGGATATACAGACAAGCGTTGGCGGAACAGCACGATCGCGTGACGTTAGCCAGCCCTCGTTGGGCACAGATCCCGATGACAAGGAGGCCAGCCCACCAGCCAGCCCCATGTTCCCATCCGAAGGCACCAGCGCTGCCTCCAAGAGCAAAGCTCAAAATGTTGCCTTTACACCCAAACTGCAGCATGCTTTTCGCAAGTACAACGACTCTAGCCTGGATGCGGACGAAACCGAATCCGAACTGGTGGCCATACCCGAGAGTGATCTCTCCGATAGCACACTACATGGCAGCAGTGCGCCGGTAGGTTTCTGTGCTGTCCAAACTCTGGGCTATATAACAACTGATTGATTTTCTAGGGCTCCTTCGATGACACAGTCCACTTTGAAGATGTCCTGCCCTCGAAAACAGAATCGCTGCGGAATCGTCGCGCCATGGACTACTCCGAGGAAGTAAACATATCAGACTCTCATTGTAGTCATGGGTTTTAACATAGTGTACTATATCATTTACAGAAATCGACCAAATCGCTGAAATCGATGATCACCACAAAAACTGGAGACACCTACTCCACAAAAATCAAGCCTAGCAGCGAGTCCGTCAGCACCACCGTGGTGACGACCCATACGCGTCACAGCCTGCAGGAGGGCGTGCGCATGATTGTGACTCCTCTGGTGGGCTCGGAAACGACGGAGACAGCGATTGTTAGCCCGCCCGTGGATGTGCATCGTGCGGTTACCGTGCGCAACAAGTCGCTGGAGAACGCAGCTGCCTCAACATCCAAAATGTTTGCGGCCATAGCGACCAATCATCTAAAAGCGCTGGGCGCTCTACAGGACGTGCCCACATCCAGCGGTAGTAAGCCCAGCTCCAGTAATGGCAACGGCAGTCGCTCCACAAATGGCAGCAGTGGCGCTCCAGCGGCCGCTCCATCAGTCGCTGCCAAGCCCATTGGACGCCATAAGACCATTGTGGAGTGCAGCGCCGGCACGTCCAGTTCCTCGGCGGAGGATTCGCGACAAAAGAAGTCTCAGACGAGGTCGCTAAGGCACAGCGACAAAGCATACGGCTCGCCCGATTCGCCGCTGTCCAAGATGAACGTGATGCCGAATCCCCGTGACGAGCTGGACGCAGGTCTATTGCCTCCTTCCAAGAGCATTGCCGCTCTCGAGATACCAACACCTGAGCGGCTGCTGCCTATTGGCACACAGGATACGGTTGCCACCTTGGTGGAGCGCATGCGGGACGGTCTCAATCTGCCGGACATCAGCCATCTCAAGCAGGACAGTTTAGATGTTTCGGAGAGCACCAAGGACGATGTAACGCCCAGCAGTCGCAACAACTCGCCGCGTCGCCTCATTAAGCAGGTGGCGCTCGAGTCACCACCCAACCCGAATGCACCGATTGCTACTCCTTCTACTACACAGGCCCAACCACAGCCGCCATTGCAGTCGCATCCTCCGCAAGACCTGCACACATCCATTTTAAAGAACGTCACACAGGATCTGAAGCAACAGCCCAGTGAACGACAACCGAACCTGCCTGGCACGTCGGCCACTTCCCATAGCATCAAGCGTCCCAGGCAGAAGCTGGCGCCCTTCAACGTAGACACCAATGCCATACCAGATATACGCTCGCGATTCGCCGGCTCCTGGCCGCCACCGCCATTCCAGCCAGCCGAGGAACCCGGCGAAGACGGCGAACATACACCCGAAATCGCAAATGGACACACGACACACACCTCAGCTCATGCGGAGCGAGGGGTAAGTAAATACTCAGAATTCTTCGATTTACATATATAAAACTGCAAAATTGCATTGAGGAGTTTTTTTTCTGCCCATGTACATATATAACTGGCAGAAGGAAGCATTTCCGACCCCATTAAATATGTTTGCTTTGTATCAAATTACCTAAAAAACGCAAAAACGTACAGGTTACAGGGTATCTTCTAGTTGGGTATCTTGCAAGTAATTCGTAATGCTATGAAATACAAAGTATCCCTTATCTTCTACACAGAGCTCCCGACGCGTCGGCAACTATACGATTGTGGAACGCTGCTCTGATTGCGGCGCAGTTATCGAGGAGTACACGGATGAGGAGATTGGCATATTCATTGTAATCCTGGGCACATTTATTCACCGCGAGCCGGCAATGGCAGCGCCATTTCTGCCTGAGGTGCTGACCATGACATCGCGGTGAGTGGGATTGAGAAAAATAAAGTTACTCTATTGCTGATTAAACTCAACTATTTCAGGATTTGTCTGAGTGGCACCCATGCCTGGCAGGGCGAGAACGGGCTGCCCTTGGCGAGCAGTGCCCAGGCCGTGGCACTGCAGTTCATACGCTGCGTTCTGCATCAGCTGGCCCCCAATGGAATCTTTCTGCAGGTTTTCCAGACCCAAATGAAAAGTGAGTTGACTGGCCAATTTTTGTTAAGAAGCCGAATTAAACTTAATTTCTCTGGCTTGCAGTTAAAATACGGCACAACCATTTCCGCAGCATTGCCAAGGCGCTGCAAGACTTTCAGGATTTGAATGCAACCAGTCCCATTTATATGGTCTGCGAGTCGCTGACCTCAAAGAAGGCGCTGCCCATAGATCAGCTGCCCATCATCTTCCGGAACATGGCCGAGTATCTGCAGTGTGTGCCCGCCGAGGCGGGCGTTGGCCTGGCCGTCTGGTCACAGGCCATGCAGGCCATGGAATCATTGCTGCGACAGGTCATTGTCATCATGCCCAGCCTGAGCAATTGCGAGTATATGCTGGAGCTCATTGTAGCCACTTTACGCTTGAATTGTGTGCCCAAGACGCTTTTGGATCCATACTCCAAGATAATGGCCCACTGTGTGCAATACACCAACTTGGAATACCAGACGCTCTACGATCTGTGCACGCTCAACACACGCTCTTTCAACAAGGACCGCGACAAGAACTTACTTTGCCGACAAATGATCTTTGAGTTTGTCCAGGCGCTCAAGTTCAAGTCGAATATACCCGATCATAATCTGCTAATGATCATTGGATTTGTGCTGCTAGATGCGGGCGGTAGTTTACCACCAGGTGCATTGCCTGGTTTGCCAGAAGCAGCGCCCGTGCTGACCACAAATGCTGCAGACTGCTTTAGGCAGTACATTAACGATGTAATTGATTTTCTGGCCGATTTCCACACCCTCAGCAAGATCAAGGTAAGTCCTGAGCTGCATGCGGGCTCTGCTAGATAACTAAACCATTTAATTGTGCAGAACTTCAAGAATGGCCAGTCAAGCAGTGGCCTAGGCGAGGACACCTTGGGCGGCGTCCTTAAGGGCGCTGTGGCCCAATATCTGGCACTCGAGATGTCCCGTGGCAGCTCACGCGATCACAAGGCAGTCTCACGCTATCTACCCTGGCTAAACAATGCTCCGTCGTCGTTGCAGCAGGGGTAAATAAAGTTTTATATTTTTTCATTTCTATTATTTATATTATTATTTTTATATAATTATTATTTTTATTATATTATTATATATATTATTATAATTATTATTATTTATGATAAGTCTTGACATTACCGATTGCCTTACTTTCAGTCCCAAAGAATTCACGGAATGTGTGGGTCATATGCGTCTGCTCTCGTGGCTGCTGCTGGGCTCACTTACCCATATGGCGTTGGTGCAGCGACGCCAAGAGACGCATACGCTGCCACCAGTGCTGCCTCCAAATATAGCGCCCGGACAGGGTCTACCGCCGATGGCTAGTGTGCATTACCAGCATCAAGGAGTCACGTACTCACAGCCTGTGCCGCAGGAGGCATCCTGTCACATAGCTGACCACATACAGGTGATTTTTGCGGGCTTTGCCGAGCAGTCAAAGACTTCGGTGTTGCACATGTCGTCGCTTTTCCACGCATTTACGCTTTGCCAACTGTGGACCGTGTACTTGGAGCAGATGGCGCATAACACCAACAGCAATGCAGAAGGCAGCACATTGGGCGTACTATTTGAATTTTGGACCAAGGTAACACCAAGCATACTGCAACTGGTTTCGCATGCCAAACCTGCCAACAAGGAGCCGCATGCACAGGCTGGCATCGACTTTCAAGCTCAGAATGCCAACTCAAAGCTATCGGAAATGGTCAACTTACACTTCCTCAGCCTACTGGAAGCACTGAAGGAGACCAACTCCACGGTGCTGGGCAAATTGCTGCCCATGTGGAGCACTGTGCTCTCTTCGCAGACACAGCTATCGGACACGCTTCATGTGCGACTGCAAAATGTTCGCGACTATGCGCCAAACTTTGAAGAACAGCAAACGCATAAATCGGAATCGCTGCTCAAGTGGTTACAGCGTTTGCAATTTAAAATGGGCCAAATAGAGCTACAAGCCTCAACGGCAACACAGTTTTACTCGATTTGAATTTAAAGCTACTTAAAGGGCTTGTTTAGCCAACATTTTTGTGTAGTCCGTCATAGCGGACATGGATACTGCACCCTAGCAGCTAGCGAGAGAGTTGATTAATTGTTGGACATCCACGAACTTAAAACGTTTGGTAGCTGAAAAAAAAAACATATATAAAATACAGTAAACGCAGAATAACATATAAAAACTGTTTAGATCACACATTTATTTCACTTTGAAAAATTATGAACTATCATAAGATTAAGTAGATGCTAACGATTGACCTTAACTAGCTTGAATGCTCACTTATAAACTGCGTAACTAACGCCACCTGAGGCTTTCTCTAATATCGTTGGATCATGCACTTCGTTTTGTTCGCCAGTATGTTGCCGACCTTCAATAAGATAATCCACCTGCGGATCGCGGTATGTGTTAAATGACGACTTGGTCTTCAGCACGGATTCATCGGGTAAACGAATGCTATTGACTGTTCCTGTTTGCCTGGCCAGACGCTCTTCCGCCTGCTGTATGCGTAACTCCTTTAAGCAATGGATACGGTAAGATATAAACAATTGTATTAACATATTCCAGCATTTACCTTGACTTTCTGCATATAATCGACCTGAAGGCTGGCAGATTCGGCCAGCGGCACCAGCTGGGTCTCCTTGTGTTGTATGAGTGGCGGCGTTGCGGCGGTGATCTCCCAATGTTTGCCTTTCTTCCGTATGCGCTCCTTAGCAGGATCGTGCACATTTGATATTGTAGTGCGGAAAGGTCTGAACTTTTCACGAGCCGTTGCCGAAACTGGCAATTCGGTTTTCTCTATGAGATACAGTGCATGTTGTTCCAAAGTAGTTCCCGGAGAATGCTTATCAACCAATGTGGCTGCATCAATTTCTATTATTTCAGCTGGGATCGTTTTGCTGCATTCTTGCCCGCTTAAACTGCTTGATGCGCTTTGATCGGTCAGCGTTGAATCTAATGAATTGGGCGTTTGTCTAAACGACGCTATGTCAGCCACATCTTCAGGAGTGATAAGTGTGGCGGGCGGCGGTAGCACTTTTACCTGGCGCTGATGCATTGTACCTTGTGCGATAACACGTAACGGATCCATCTCTTGTTCATCGTCACTGTCGAGTAAATCCGACAAGTTTGAGCTGTCAACAGCGGCCCGACCATGCCATTCCAGATTGTTGAGCGTTCTCTTGCCTTTTGATGCAATGTTCAGCTCGCCGAATAAGTTAGCAGTTGCCTCGACATCGTTTCGCCGTTGAATCTCAGCAAGCAACTTCTCATATGACTCCTGTATACGTTTTCCTTTATCTGGCAAACTCTGCAATCGCTTTCTAAGGGTCGCGTTAGCAAAAGTCCAATAAACATTTTACTCCCAAATGAAACCACTTTGATGACTTACTTGGATGCCAAAAGATTGCTTTGCCTATCTTTAATTTCCAACAGCTCATGGTATCTAAGCGTTTTGAGGTCTTTGATATATTGTTCTTTAGTTTGAGCCGTACCAGGAATTCGATTCATCGGTGGCGCATTCATTTTCTTCGTTTTATTATTACAACTTTACATTAATTTTCCCCGCTCAATTATAACCACACACAGAAGAGTGTTGCTCGATAGACATCGAGTTATCGATAAGACCAATGTCTGCCGTGAATATATCGAATAGTGCAATATCGATGAATTGAAAATATAACCTAAATATTTTAGGATAATTAACATTAAAAAGAAAATTAAATATAAAATAAAAATCAATTAATTCTGCACTGATCATTCATCAAAATTCGTAAAGAAAATAATTCCAAAAGATGGATTTAAGAAACAGACAGAAGAACAAACAAACATTTGTTAAAGGACAAAAAATAATGTACTTAAGGATGTGCAATAAATCGATAATTCGATACCGGATAATAGACAGAATTAACATTTTAAAATTTGATTTTTAAAATAAATCTCAATCGGTAACGATATAAATAACATCGCACCGTTAAGTTTCAAATCGAAGTACACTGTGCATAAGCATATAAATATAAATATAATTAATATAAATAATACATATAGAAAAAACTTGAGAAAAACTAACTTAAGAGAAACATGCCGAACGAATTGATAACGCCAAAGGGCTACTACAAAGTAAATAAGCGATTCAGAGATGTAGAGAAACGCCGAGAGGATTGGCTTCACCGTGAAAATAGACGAATATATGTGCATCCAGCAAAGAAAACGCTTGAACGGTCTATTAAAATAGTTGGTCTATATTTAACGTTATATTTGTGTATTGCGATTATTTTAGCATGCAATGTATTAATTTTGTACAATTTTCGAGTGCCCAACAACGAACCCCTTGAGCGTAAGTGCACGAGTATGTCATCTGTGCCGGGTAATTTTGTGGGCGACAGAAAAATAATACGATTCCAGGCAGATCAACGGAACGAAATAACGCCCTATATTAGACAAATGTATAAATTTGTTAAAAAATATGGCAACGAAGGAATGCGTCGCCTGCGAGCATGTAATTTAGATAATAACTGGGGTTACAATAGCGGCCTGCCATGCATTCTATTGAAACTCAATATGGCAATTAATTTCAATGCTGTGACATATACCAGTTCCATAACACTCCCGAAGGAGGTGCCCAACGATTTGCACGATTATATACTACAGTTGCCGCTGGAGGATCGTATAGATCGCATATGGGTTAGCTGTTCCTTCTTAGATAATATAACGGAAGCGAAAGTGGAGTATATACCGAATCGGTATTATGATGCCGAGGGCTTGTTTGAAAGGGAAAATTTTTATTTGCATACTATCTCTGAGAACTTAACGGCAGCAAATATTCGTGAAAATCCGGCGTTTCGTCGCGTTATTGGCGTACAATTTCAATATTTGCCAATGAATCGAGATGTTACCATCAAATGCACAGCATGGGCTAAAAATATTCCTCTAGACGTCGGATCGACAATTGTTATATTTCGCATTGAAGGGCATGAAGTTTTTCCAAATCCCGATCCAGACTTTGAAGAAGCTTCCGATTTGAATTTTAACTGAATACCCAAAGGTAACATTTTAAATTCAACTGTTCATTTGACAGTTCGGCTTCAAAACAAAACAAACACACAAACACAAAACACAAACACATTTAACGTTATTCTCATTAACACACAAAAGTTTCTATCTTTTTAAAATTCATTATGCCTGAAGACTCCGTTGTTCCCGCTGGCCGTTACACAGTTAAGAAACGATTTCGACACCAGGAACACACGCGAAAAAACAAAGACTTGCCATGGTCCAAGAAAGTATTGGACTTGGATCACCATAAATTGTTTGGACGTACCGCCTGGGGTTGGACAAGAATTGTTTTATTCTATCTGTTGCTATATTTTTTAATCTTACTGATCTTGGGTATTTGGATGCTTATATTCAACTTACTATTTTTAAAAGGTGATGAGCCACGATGGCTTAAGGGTGCACCCGGCATTTCGACTGTGCCCAATTCCAGTTTTATAAAGATACATACAAGCATTCCGAAGGAAATATATAAAATTACCGACAGAATAGATAAATTCGTTGATAAATTGGAAGCGTCTGCTGTGAAAAAATTCGCCGATTACAACAAAGACGAACTCTGGGGATATTCTACCAAAACGCCATGCGTGTTTATTAAGATCAATAAAGTAATAGGATATAAGCCGAAAACCTATGATTCGATCAGTGAACTACCGAACAATAATCAGTTGAAAACTACAGTGCAAAACTTTCCTGGCGTCGATAGAATCTGGTTGACATGTGAATCTTCAGAAGATACTGTCGAATTTAATTATATACCTGGTCCGTATTTTGACGCATCAGCCGGTTTGAAGGGGATCGAACGTATTGTCGCAATGCAAATGAGCCGTCTACCGCTTAATAGTCAGATTTATATAACATGCAAGATTTGGGCGAAAAACCTGCAAATTGACATGAAATACAATGGCTGGGGTAATGTACAATTTTCTCTTATCGTGTACGCGCCATAGGGAGCAAAACTCTTCAGGATTTCGGGTCGCTCTGAATGTATTTATATGCAGCAAAATATATTTGGCCGTTCCCCTCAAATTTGATTTTCAAATGTATATTAAATTGTATATAAATAATATATTAAATAATCTCAGGCCGAGAGTGTATATGGTATTTGTGCTGAAATTCTTTTCGCTTTTCTCTCTGCATTTCCGCCTAAAATCAAAGAAACAAGTTCAATCTCAACATTAATTACATTCAATAGTAATTTTCAATTTTTATTTATATGGTTAGATTTTTACTGCAACAGTAGTCGTGTCACGAATATTTATAATACTATCGATAGCTTATTAGGTACTGGCGAATACTTTTCGTCTCTTTTCTTAGTGCTCCTCTCTAATTGGCTGGAATTTGTCATCACCAATTGCTTCATTTCATCATATGCATCTGGTTTGTGCGAGGATATGGCAGGAGAGGATTTGATAATCAAGTTTCAGGAGCTTGGCATGAGCGAGCAGAAGGCCAAGGAGACGCTCAAGAACGCCAATTTGACACGAAACTTACAGCTAGCTCTGGCCGAGACAACCCAGCCGCTGAGCGATGGTGTTGGCATGCTGCTCTACCACATGGCCACAAAGCTGAAGCCGCAAATATCGGGGCAGCTGCCACTTTTAGTGCGCTACATTGCAGAGCGCAAGCTGGACAACACGCAACGTGTGGACGCAGCCCTAGAGTATGTGCTCAAGTGCGGACAGAAGAAAAACGTTAATGTCGATCTGGCCGAGTTGGAGCGCGAGTGCGGTGTTGGCGTTGTGGTCACGCCGGAGGAGATTGAACGTGTTGTACAACAGAAGATTAGGGGCACCTACAAGCAGGCATTGCTGGAGCAGCGCTATCACTTCAACGCATTTAAAATCATGCAGGATGTCCGCAATGAATTGAAGTGGGCCGACGCCAAATCCTTGAAAGCAGCTATCGATGTTGAAATATTTGATTTGCTTGGCCCCAAAACCGAGGCCGATCTGATCCCACTACCCAAGCAAAACGAAAAGCAGCCCAAAGCTAAAGTTAGCTCCAACGCAAAGCCCGAGGTGAAGGCATCCACCACGTCCACAGCTGCAGCAGATGACGACAGCGCCAATACCATTGCAGAGCTGATGAAGACAAAGGTGCACTTCCATGCGCCAGGGGAGAACTTCAAGACCGATGGCTATGTGGTCACCGAGCACACGGAGCGGCTACTGCGCGAGCATTTGCAGCTCACGGGTGGGCGGGTACAAACGCGTTTCCCACCCGAACCAAATGGCATCCTGCACATCGGGCATGCCAAGGCCATCAACATCAACTTTGGTTATGCTGCAGCCCACAAGGGTGTCTGCTATCTACGCTATGACGATACCAATCCGGAGAAAGAAGAGGAGAAGTTTTTCGTTGGCATCCGCGACATGGTCGAATGGCTTGGCTATACGCCGTACAAGGTGACCTACTCCTCGGATAACTTTCAGCAGCTGTACGATTGGGCAGTGCTGCTGATACGCAAGGGCTTAGCCTATGTGTGTCACCAGAAGGCGGAAGAAATTAAAGGCTTCAATCCACCTCCGAGCCCCTGGCGCGAGAGACCTATTGATGAATCCCTGCAGCTCTTCGAGGACATGAAACATGGCAAGATCGATGAGGGTGCTGCCACTCTGCGCCTTAAACTGACGCTCGAGGAGGGTAAACAGGATCCCGTTGCGTATCGGATTAAGTTTATTCCCCATCATCGCACTGGTTCCGAGTGGTGCATTTATCCCACCTACGACTACACGCACTGTCTGTGCGACTCCATTGAGCAGATTACCCACTCGCTCTGCACCAAGGAGTTTCAATCTCGACGCTCCTCCTACTACTGGCTCTGCAATGCCCTAAACATCTACTGCCCGGTTCAGTGGGAATACGGTCGATTGAACATGAACTATGCCCTGGTATCCAAGCGAAAGATTGCCAAACTGATAAGCGAGCGCATTGTCCACGACTGGGACGATCCCCGCCTATTTACGCTAACGGCTCTGCGTCGACGCGGCTATCCCGCGGAAGCCATTAACAATTTTTGCGCCCAGATGGGCGTAACGGGCGCACAGATATCGGTGGATCCCGCCATGCTTGAAGCGGCGGTGCGCGATGTTCTTAACGTGACTGCCCCACGTCGACTGGTTGTGCTGGAGCCGCTCAAGGTGACCATCAGCAACTATCCGCATTCGGGGCCAGTGGAATTACAAGTGCCGAACTTTCCACAGAACCCAGCACTGGGTTTCCACAAGATTACCCTAGATCGTGTCATCTACATTGAGCGCAGCGATTTTAAACTGGAACCGGAAAAGGGATACCGACGCCTGTCCACCCAGCAAGCCGTCGGCTTGCGTCATGCTGGTTTGGTCATTAGCGTTCAGCAAGTTGTACGTGATCCGGCCACGGGTGAAGTGTTGGAGCTCGTCTGCAGCAGCGAGTCAGCGGAGCAGGCCGAGAAACCGAAGGCATTCGTGCAGTGGGTTTCACAGCCCATCGAACTGGAGGTGCGTCTCTATGAGCAGCTGTTCAAGCACAAGAATCCAGAGGATCCAAACGAAGTGCCTGGCGGATTTCTTAGCGACATTAGTGATAACTCTATGTCGGTTCTTTGTGCGTACTCCGATCAGTCGCTGAGCGGTGTCAAGGTGTACGATAAGTTCCAATTTGAGCGCATCGGCTTCTTCTCTGTGGATCCGGACACATCTGGCACACGGATTGTGTTCAATCGCACCGTAGGACTCAAAGAGGACTCAGGCAAGAAGTAATAAACACTTGAATTTTTTTTACAAAACAAAAATATGCTCACAATAAATAGGATTTATAAAATCAATTATTTCTTTCCCTCGACCATAATTATGTGGTAGCCAAATTTCGTCTTTATCGGTGGATCTGTGTAAACGGGGCTGTTGACTGTGGATATGGGCAGGGCAAAGGCGGCGTCTTGGAATGGTCCGACCATCGCACCGCGTATTTGCCAGCCTAAGTCACCACCTTGACGTGCTTTGTCTTCACTGTAAGCAGCTGCCACTTCAGGAAATTTCTGACCAGCTTTTAACTTCTCCAAAGCTTCCATAATCTTGCCCTGCTTCTCACAGAGAATATGTCGCACCTTCACAGCATTGCCACCTTTCTTCTCTTTGCCGGCGCCTGCGGATGATTTAATTAAATTTATAAGGTTTTCTGCTCCCGCAAACAATTTGTACCTTTTTCCTCTGCAGCTGGTTTTTTTCCACCTTTTGCGCCATCCTTTCCGCCCTTCGTATCCTTTTTAGGGGGCATCTTAAACTGTCAGCAACAACGACTACTGATTTAAGGCTTGCCACTGTGTTGACTAGCACATGTGCTGCCACTATGCAAAGGCTGGCAGAGTATATTTTCAATGATAGGTGTACACTGTTTTTAAATATATCGCCAAAACTATCGATATAATATAAACATCTCTAACACGTCTCTCACTCCTTTTCACTTTAGCGAGGCAAAATTTGTCACATTTCTTTGGCAAAATTGTAAGTTTTGTCATTTAATACGAAATGGATATAAAATATAATATGCTAACAACTTTTAATTTGCAGTGCAGTTTGTGATTAATCATTTAAATATCGTGAAGAGCGTAACTCAACACACTAGACAAGCGCTAGCTAAACCAGCAACGAAGCAAAATGCCTAAGAATAAAGGAAAAGGTGGCAAAAATCGTCGTCGTGGAAAGAATGAAAACGAATTCGAAAAGCGTGAACTGATCTTCAAAGAGGATCAACAGGAATACGCACAGGTGACCAAAATGCTGGGCAATGGTCGCTTGGAGGCAATGTGCTTTGATGGCGTCAAACGTCTGTGTCACATTCGGGGGAAACTTCGCAAGAAGGTGAGTGTGTGCGTGTTTGTGGGCGTTTCAATGTGTGCGTGAAAAAGTGCTGCTCTCTACTGTAGGTGTATTGCGTGCACTGTTTGCTAATGTATGTATATGTATGTGTTGCATATATATATACGCATACAAAAGTGTGTGATGCGTGCACATCGAATTGCAATTCAATTTCAAATATTGTCGCCCTTGCAAACAATTTGTCTATAAACAGACATTGTGTACATATTCGTTTATTTCGCTAGCTAGTCAAAGTATGCTGAGCCTTGTCCGTTTGCAACGGCCTTCAAAATTGCCAACAAAGGCGAATTGCGTTGAACTTATATCTACATATGTACATACATACATATGCATATGTATGCGTGTTTGTATTATTTTGTGCATGTGTAAGTTATGTGTCGTAATTTTAAAAAGCATCGGTTGGCATAATTTCTTTTAATCCTGATCTTAGACCAGGTGATTTATCATTCACAAAGGTACAGTGAAAAGTCCCTTGAGCGACAATCAATGTTTCCTATTCTCCCCTCGCGTAAAGGATATTTAGAAGTAGTATCAAAAGAACAGAAAATAATATTTCATTTATATTGTTAGATATTACAAGATAGATATTTTACAGGACTGATTTAAATACTCATTTAAAAAAATATATATAAACAACCTTTCTACAGAATATTAAAAGTATTCATTACTTGTCATAAGTCTAATTTAAAAAAGTTGGTTTAATCAATTAGCAGTACCAAAAATTAGTATTCTGATGCATAGTGTAATTGAGCGGAATTTGGGGATCGCTAAATGTTACAATAGATCTTATACAGTTTGCTTTCATTTCCTTATAAAAGCACTAGCGAGTATAACCCGGCCTTGTCCGTGCTACGTATAAACACCATCTTCTTTGAAAATAATTTTAAAACCACTTTCATAACTGTTTTCCACCAATTTACCACTGTTCCGGGTGGAATTCGCCAAAACACCGAAACACAGGTATTCATTAAGTTCTTATAGTTTAAAGTAAATTGGACGCAACTTAAAACTTTGCTCAAAAAATCTTTGAATCGTAATTTTACCGCATTTTTCCACCATATCTTTGACAACCATTTCCACCAAAAAGGGAGAATTTGGGAGATTTCCCAACAAGTGCGAAACACCTCTCAAATAAATAGGAACAAGATGTTTTAAAATAAGGTGGAATTTCCCGAAACCCCCGTCTAACGTGAACCTTCATCACATAAGTAACTACAGTGAAAATTTAAGCTACCTAACTATGCAATATGTGTAACATAGCAATCAATTCAATTTATGTGGTATCAATGTTGATAAATCAGCATTTTATATGTCTCCTTATGTTATATTGATTTCTGTCAAGTTTTCGGGTACTTTACCTAGCAGAACGTCTCATAATGAGGATCCATAAATAACCAACTACGTCGTCTTTCTATGCTCCTACGTAATTGAGCAGATAGCTATGTACGTCATTAATAGAAAATGATTCTAATCGGGGAAAAATCGACAACAGACTTTATTTGATTAATTTGCACAAGAAACTACTGTTAAAGCGAATTTCTTGAAAGAACAAAACATGTCGGAAATAATTAAAAGATAGCGTTCAAAATAGATTCAATTTCAATATTGAGAGTCTAACTGAAATCTATAAAGCTAAAGAGCAGAAAAACATTCAAGTGCCAGAAAAACCGTCAAGTGAATGACCTGATATCTATTATTATGATTCTTATATATATAAAACTGTTTCTACTTACTGTCTAACTGATGATAAACGCTTGGCCTAAACTGTTAGCGAAGCTTTAATTTTTACTGTCACCACGTGATGATGAAGTTGCACGATAAAACGGGGTTCTGGGAAATTTCATCCGCATCTGTTTGAAAAATCTCAAAAAAAAGTCTTCTTTACCATCCAATCTTCGTTAAGCTTAGTTAAACGCTAATTCGGCCAAGGTTTTGTGTATACCTATTATGCTACCACTAATTTAATTCAATGAATGAATTATCATATCCGAAGTAAACTAAAATTTTTCACGGAACGGAAATGGGTGAAAACATGATATATAAATTTTCAAGCATATATCTTGTGTCGGGCAAGGCCGGGAAATACCAGGTAGTATTACAAATATGCATTTCCTTAAACTCAAAAGCAATCCAAAAAAGCACGTGCTGCGAAATTAAAGGAATCTGAGGCAATTATTATAATTATAATTGCTGTATCGAATGGAATCCATTGATAAGATATCGGGCAATAAAAGTAAAAAAAAAAATGTACAGAAAGTACGACGCAATAATCGGTTGATTTATGTAAAAGGAATTATAAAGAGGTTATTCCTTATCGGCGGGTCATTTGTGTTGTCTCATAATGACCGACGAATTAAACATTAACAGACAGGCGCCAGTCGCCAGTCGCTTGCCAATATTTTTATCATATATTTCAATACACCCAAAGATTAGAACGTGCCAAAGACTAACTAACAATATTGTAAGCTGTGTCTGGCACTGGCATATATAATCTTTCAAGTACTTCGTTTGCTGGGGTTAATTTTTACAAAGCTTTTTTGATAATGGCTTTTACTAAGTATTACAGACAAATATAATCTTTCAAGATGTTGCTTACTAATTATTACAATAAGGCAGTGAGGTATATCACAAAGATTGGTTCATAGACAAATTTTAACTATTGGTATTATTCTCGAGAATAAAAAAAAAAAAAGTTCCAATTGTGCAGAGGATCTCATATCACAAATTGAATGTGGAACTGGATTTCCCCATTTCTTCTGTCCGCTTTTTAACATAAAACCTTACAATTTGAACAAATCCCACTTTGTTTCGGAGCAGACTTACGCTCTTACGCTAGTTTGAGCAACTGGTTCAATTTGAGGTAAGGTTCGTTGAAAATTATAATTTTAATTTCAAGCGCGAACCAGTTCGGTTCAATACTCAAATAAATCTTTTTATCTACTGATTCATTTCAACCCATATTTATTTAGCTTCCTGTCAACTTTAAATTGATCAATACAAAAAATCAGAAACAGTGAAAAATCTGGTAAAACGATGAAAACCCTAGACTTAACCTTTAGTTCACTTTAAATAGTAGGCTTGAAGCTCTGAGAAAGTATATATTCTTCGTGCTTATATATTGAATTTCTTTATATAAGATATTTAACTTATGGTATTAGCCAAGAAGAGTTCGGAAACAGGTTCGCCTACATTTTCCATGTTAGTCCCAGAATTTGTAAAAATCGAATAATATTCAATTAAAGATTGACCAGACATAAACAGAAAACTGAGATTAAATAACAAACCATATGACAGCCTGATATGAAAATTTCATTTCGGAGAAACGATTACAAAATCTTTATGATCAATCAGCAGACGTGGGTCTGTCACCTGGCTTGCGATCAAAGTCCAAGCACATGTCACTCAAAAGGCGAGCAGCTGATCACTCGAGTGCTGTTAATCTTGAGAGTAATCTTCATGTGGGCTTACTTGCTCCACTTCAGCAGCTACTGGAGCTGAGACCAGCATTTTTGCTTTGCTAATCTCCCGACATTCGCGTGACTAATGCACAGTCAAAAAACACCGGAACCCCGCCCTCTAGCAACAGTGGCCCGTATGGGGCTGTATAAACTTATCTAGTCGACGCCTGGAATCGTAGAGCTTCAGTCAATTTCACAATTGACACATTTTTTTTGTTGGCTAAAAATTCAAAAAGACACTCGATTGGCTTATATAAAACATAATTTGTAGCTTGTTTTTTATTTTTTTTATTAGGAACAATTTTTGCGACTTAAAATTATATGGCTTAGTTTTTAGGGACGGGCGGGGGCAGTATACGTAACACTTATTTGACTACTGAGATTAGAAGCTAGGGATTTTTTTGTTGATGTATTTGGTTTTTGTGTTTTTTCTTTCGATATTTTCAATTCGAGCTGCGTGTGCGCTATGAAGTCCCAGGAACTCTCTCCGTGCCGATAATCCGCTCTACATGAGTTGGGTGGCAGAGGCGATAATCTGGTTAATCCAATCTGTAAACGCGGAGACGCGCACAAAGACAGAGGGCGCATTCTTCTGGCCGCAGGGCAATCTGCCCCAGGACACGATGCCAATGATTATGTTGCTCTGCTCCAGATGCGGTTCGCAGCATTCCTGCATGAGTGGGCCACCGGAATCGGCGGTGCAAATGCTAACACCTCCGCTCAGCGGGCCGGTGCACAGGTTCGTCTCGTGCAGCTCGAGGCCGGAGCGTGCTAGTATCTCCTCGCAAAGTTTCATATCCAATATGGGCATGTTGGCCAGCTGCAGCTTGTGCGGATAGTTGGGCACGGCCGTCATTGAGACATTGCCCCAGCCGTACAGCGTGCCGTAGCCCTCGGGCTGAGCGTCCTGTTCGGGCAGCGTTGCCGCCTGCACGTACTCATCGAAGATGAGCGGCTTCTTGGTGTAGATGAGCGCAATGTCGTAGGGATTCACGCCGCCCAGGTAGAGCTCATGTCGCACATAGTAGTCAATATTGCGCATCTGCACATTGCCCGCCTCGCCGCGTCGATTATGAATATCATGGCTGCCGGCGACAATCACCGAACTGGCCACGGACTGTGGCGAGGTGAGGCAGTGAGCGGCCGTCAGTATCCAGTGCTCGTTGATCACGGTGCCGGCGCAATAATGCACCAGGCCCTGATCCGGTGTCATCATCTGTATGCTGACCACATAAGGTGCCGAATGCGGCGATGCCTCGCGCTTGGCCAGAAACTTTTTGCTCCAGTGCGTCTGATGCGGTGCGTCCAATGTGCTAATTCGATTCTCCAGCAGTCCATACTCGGCCAGATTCAATGCCATGCTGTGGCCGGGACCGCTGCATTTGCGTACGGGCAGCTGCATGTGCGGGGCTGAACTGAGCACAACCATAATGCTGGCTATGGTGGTCAGTAGTACGGAGTAAATGTATCTGTATGATAACAGCATGATGATGTCCTCGCTCTGGTTGCACGCCCCGCACGTATTTAGACTTGTACTGAACGTAATTTTGACGCGTTTAAAAACGCGAGCTGGTGAATTTCGTTTCGGAGTGTGGTGAGTAGCGTGGTTTGTGGTGGATTATAGCGTGTAATTTGCGGCTTGTGGTAGGTTGACTTTGATTTTAAATTTTTGGTCTTTAGGTTTTTCAGCTTTTCGCCTTGGCTTTGGCGTGTCGATAACACTTCACTTGTATTCCCTTTAGCTTTGGCATGGAATTCAATTTTCTTCGGCTGTCTTTTGCCGTTTGCTTTTGATTTCTTCACTGTTCGACGGCGATTTCAAATTTGCAGTTGCTCCTCACTGGCTGGTCGTATTTATAGCAACACGTTTATCAAAGAGTGCGCGGACGATTGATAACAGTTAGCCAGAGAGCGAGAGAGAAGGGTGGCGAATTCTGCTATTGGCCGCTTTAAATTTAACTACAGTTACGTGTACTTATACGGAAAAGAGAGTGACTCGATAGGGATTTTCTATGTCTTTGTTATCAGAGCGATAAGAAATTAGCGTGTGCCTAGGGAAATAATGCCCTACGACCATTTAAGCGGCGTAATTAGCAAACAAATGTAATAACAAATATATGCACTAAAATTTAAGCAAGTTTTTAACAAATTGAGCATATTGGGCCATTCTATATTAGATCTACACTCTTGCCGCATCAAATCTTTAGCACGTTTGGTAGATATCTAAATTTATATTAAAGTTAAATTTTGGTAATTTTTTGTTTTGGACAAGGAATACCTCAATATGATAAACTCTTCTTCGAATGCCGCATTATGATTCACTCTGATAAACGTGTGTTCCTAAAAAGTATTCTCGATTGCCCAGCTGCACGATTCGGACTAATTTGCCAAAATTTGTAGGGGTTCACAAACCCCAGATAAATCAGTATTTTCTACCCTCATATAAATGATAGATACTTCTTAATTGGTTAGCTTATAGATATTTGGCAATCAAATGGATAATTGAAATTGCAGTTTGTTAAAAATGTAGCGCATCAAAGTGTTCGGCCAAGCCAAACCCAAACTTATAGTTCGTTCTCCCTGAGTTTCCCCATCGATGATGAGTCCGATAATACCTCAAGTTCAATCATCTTATATCGTACGTAGCACATAGTATTTATAGTAACATTGTTCACATTGCAAGAATGACACCTGCTGCCTCTCGCATGCCGATATGATGACGAAGTGAGTCCGCCTGCTGTGGGCACAGCTCCTCCCCCTGCCTCCCTGCCTGGTCGAGACCGTGGCGGAGGGCAAGCACAATCAGCAATTAGTTAACGAATCGTTGGTGGGCGTCGGGTGCTTCCCAGACGCCTGTTTGAGCATGTCGATCGGCCGCGCTTATCTTTGGCTCACTTCAGGAACTCTCGCCCTTGGGTAATATTACGATTTTAAAGTGCTTTAGTCACGATTCTTTTATCTTCCTACCTGATCGAGGCACAATGTGGGTTTATTGCGTGACATATGAGGAGGTACGGATGGGTTTGAGCCAACGCCACACGCCGTCGCTCACACGCATAGATTTGCCCCTTCCCCAACTCGAGCCTTATGATTAAGGCTCCAAAGTTCAATCAGCCCTAATGTTTATTTTCAATGATAACGTAACTGTAGAATTATTTTTGCCTAATGAAAATTTAAGCCGAATTCGCTATCAAATCATTTTTCTACGCTTTCAATAACTCTTATCATGGATGGTTCTTTATGCATGTGTCATATTTATGCATTAATTTGGCATTTATTGCATTTGGTAGCGCTTCCCGTCCACTAGTCATAAATACTACGCCCGGCATATAGCTGAGGAAGTGAATTTATGAATGGGAATCACGAATCAAGTGCACATTGCTGCAGGTCAGTTACCCACTCACCCGTTGATTAAGTTGCCCCAATTAAGTGGGTAACTATTTTAGGTAGTTACCTGGTTTCTATCACGAAGCTGTCCAAATATTTCCAAAGATTAAACTCTTCCGTTGACGTCAGTGCCTTCTTAGTACCACATGCAATAACTTAAGTTATCAAATTCGTGACACGCACTTTTAATCGTTGTCTTTATGTTGCTTGGAGTGTTTATAATTTGAATTAAGATTAGGACTAAAGCTATCTTTAAAAGTCAGCTATTACTAGAGAAGCTATGTGATAATGTGGGAATAAAGCATGTTTAAACTGAAAGCTATTTAAATTCTTGTAGTGCTACGATTGATCACACATATTTTAGATACATACATATGTAAGTAAATATGGACATGCTTTCTGTTCTGTCATATATTCTTCAATTTTTCTGACAAATTGTTTGCCACCCGCAAATTGTGCAAATATTGCGCTCCATTGCGAAATAGCCAGAACTCTGGTGCCAGTTTATTTACAGATCTGCTATCTGTTACATAAACTACAATGAAAGATACAAAAGCTGCGACATAGCTTTGCTTCCATTGAGTCACAAAAGCTTTTCATAGGTTTTTATTGAATTTACAATTGAAATTGCAAAAGTGTTAGCTCTTACCAATTTGTGTATGCTTTAAAAAATGTTACAGGTATGGATTAATCAAGGTGACATCATATTGGTCGGGTTGCGAGACTATCAGGATTCAAAGGCTGATGTCATTTTGAAGTACACACCGGATGAAGCTCGAAATCTGAAAACATACGGCGAGTTTCCGGAATCGGTTCGCATCAACGAGACAGTCACATTCGTCGAGGATGGCTTCGATGAGGACATTGAGTTCGGCGATGAGATCAGTTCCGAGGACGACGCTGATTCCGTTGATAATATCTGATTAACAAGCAATAAAAGCGCAGCAACAGAAACAGCAGCAGCTGCCGAGTCGGTTCAGGAATAGGGAATTAAATAAATTTGTAAAAAGTCAACAGCCTCCCCGCCAACACCCACCCGCACCACACACACCCGTACACACACACACACACACACACACACACATATACCAAAAGCAGCGCAGTGACAGACAGCTGAGAGCGATAAGGAAGTGACAAGCCAAACCATTCATTCAGAAATAAACCTTTAGAAATTTTAACGTTGCTTTCTAATACAATTCAAACTTTTCAATTCGGATGCCAAACTCAAATTATTCGCCTTTCAACCGCAATGTTCAATTAACAACAACAAAAAAAACATGTTAAACAAATAGTAGAACTTTTATATATAAAACGAAAAAAAAAGAAAAGAAAAGAAAACGGAAACAAATGCAACAATGCGAAACACAAACACAATTATTATTTCAATGGAAAGAAAAAGATAAACGATATTAGTTACATTTTAAACAAACGAAACACCAAAATGTGGAGCAATGCAAGAATCAGCTACATTTATATATTGATAAATAGGCGTTTAACTGAAGGTTATAATAACAAATAAAAACCAACAACAAAACAAAATGTAGGGAAACGTTTTAAATTTGTAGCTAGAGTGTAAGAAGTACCAAAAACAACAAAGAAAATGAAAACCTGTTTCCCTATAAGAAGGGTGTGCTTAGTTATTTCTCCATATACATTCTCCTTCGTGCTTTACATATATTGATTTGATATGATTATTATAGTATCTACTATACCTAACGTCCTTTGTTCTCATTTTGCTGTGCATGCATTCAATTTTGTATGTTGGAACTAAACTCTAAATATTGATGATTGTAATTAAGCAGAAAGCAAGTTCAATAAATAGTTAATTTAACCGAATGCAAAACAGCAAAGAAAAAAAAAATAACAGCGATTTTCGTTTACTGTCTTAATTCGTGTTTATTTAAATGCGCACAATTCCATACCAATATACAAAAGTTAAATTAATATTAAGGTCTGGTACAGCTTAGAGCTCCTCGTGATGCGATGGAAACTTTTTGAGTATGGCATGATATAGATTATAGAATGCGTAGACTGAAACCGTGACAATCACCAGCAGGGCTCCGCCGAAGGCAATGCTCAGGAAGTTGCCGTCGATGATGCCCGCTGAGCGATGGCGTTTGGTTGAGAAGATTTCTTCGGTTATTGCTGGGCTGTTCTGCTGCTGTGCTGTACGTTCGGCCATCAAGCGCTTCATGGTGCTTAAGCGTTCGCGTAGAACTTCCACAGATTCTGAGTCCAGATCCGAAGCGCCTGTAAATAGATTGTGTTAGCTTTTGCTCGGTTGCTTTGATGTAAGCAGACGAACCTGTTCCTTGTGTGGACATAGCGAAGATTAGGTTGTTATGAAAAGTGAAATATTATTTAGCTGTAGAAAATGAAATGGCAAAAGCAGGGTGTAATTAGAAATATAGGAACAGGCGCATGTGCGTAACGGCTATGTATCGATTCAATTTTTGAGTGTTGAACAATGCGCTCACAGCTGTGCCGCATGCGATAAGTATCGATTACTTTCGGTATTTTCGGTCAAATTTAGCTCTACACTCTCACTCTACAATAATATTGCAAACACGTGCAGTACGCGCGCGTCTTCACCTGTTGTTGTTACAATATTTTAAATGACAAAATGGGTCTAACTAAACAATATTTGGCATATCGTGCCATAGATAGTTTTAACATAATTGCATCCGGTCGTGCCAATGTGAATTTCGCCGTTCTTGAGAAAAGCGAGGGACGTTTTGTTGCAGCCCCGGCGGCTGAGAATGTTATCATTTGGGATTTGCGGTGAGCATGTGCTATTCCCTTACAATATTTATTAGTTAAAACCGGGCACAACTTGCAGTATGGGCGATCGTAAATTGACGCTGCGCCGTGAAAAACAAGAAGTAACCGCTTTGCGTGTCTCACCCGATCATCTGCATATTGCCGTGGGCTACGCGGACGGCGTGGTTCAGATTTTCGATCTAAGTTCTCAGACCTACTACGATGCCATTTGCTCTCTGGCGCTTCACAAGAATGCCGTCAGTGTGTTGCGCTATGATGCGCATGGTATGCGTCTGGTGAGCGGCGGTCTGGACACCGAACTGGTCGTTGTGGATGTGGTGGAGCAGGCGGGTCGTCAGCGCCTGAGTGGACACAATGCAGCCGTTACAGATGCACATTTCTTGCAGCGTCTGGTCGAGCAGGACATTGTGGTGAGCTGTTCAAAGGACACACAAATCAAGTTCTGGAACCTGGAGACACAGTTCTGCTTCAAAACGATTGTCGACAATCGCACCGAAATATGGGCGCTGGCCTTTGTCAACGACCTTATGGTTGCGGGTGCTGGTGAGAGCGGCATGAATGTCTATCGCCTGCGCAAACGTGAAGATAGCTCGGCACAAACTCTGGAGACAGCCGTCGAGGGCTTGGCCATAGACGACGAAGATACGATAAGTCCCTTGAGTGTCAGCAATTGCGGTACCATACAACGCGCTGGCAAAGGACGCACAGTCAATTTGGTTGCCGATCCCAACGAACGTGTGCTGAGCTGTCACGCCACCAACGATCTAATTGAGAACTTTTACATATGCACCGCCGAGGAAGCCAAGCAGCGTCTGGCCAAGCGTCTGAAAAAGGCGCGCAAAAGGGCACAGGATGCTGCAGCAGCCGAGGAGGACGACGAGCATCTGTCTAAGGAGCTGTCGCTTAGTGATGAAATCAAGCGCCTAGAGAGCCTCAAAACGAAGCAGAAAATCAAATCAATCGATGTGCTGCTCGGCCAGAACAAAGAGCTGCGCGTCCTGGTCAGCTTAGCCAACAATAGCATGTGCCTGTACTCCCTGGAGGCATCGTTAAAGTCGCGCAAACCTACAGCGGGGTCGGCAGCGTCTGCAGACAGCAGCGTCAAGTTGTTGCGCTCACTTACACGGCTGGGACATCAGTCAGAGGTGCGTTCCGTCTGCTTCAGCAACGATTCGTTGGCAATCGGCTCTGGCTCGGGGGATTCCTTCAAGTTCTGGGATCGCGATGCTATGCAATGCCTGCGCACGGTGCCCACAGATTATATACTCTGCTCGCGGTTTGTGCCCGGTGATCGCTATGTGCTGCTGGGCATGAAAAGCGGAAAGCTGTGCATTGTGGATGTGGGCGCAGCGGATATTGTCGAGCGAATACCCGCACATGAGAGTGAGCTCTGGAGCATTGCTCTCTTGCCAGACCAGAAGGGCTGTGTTACAGGCAGCAGTGATACGACGCTTAAGATCTGGAGCTTCGAGCTGATCGATGCGGGCGAGGGCGAGTCACAGACCAAGGTGCTCTCACTGCTGCACAAGAACACACTTAAACTGGAGGAGACAGTGCTGTGTGTGGCCGTCAGTCCGGACATGAAGTACCTGGCCGTGGGACTGCTAGATGCCACTGTCAAGGTCTTCTTTTTGGACACATTCAAGTTCTATCTGTCGCTGTACGGACACAAGTTGCCGGTGCTGTGCATGGACATCTCCTACGATGCAACGCTGATAGCCACTGGCTCGGCAGATCGTAATATTAAGATTTGGGGCCTCAACTTTGGTGATTGTCATCGTTCGATTTTCGCACACGATGATTCGGTCATGTCCTTGCAGTTCATACCCAAGACGCACATGTTCTTCAGCTGCGGCAAGGATGGCAAGGTCAAGCAATGGGATGGTGACTCCTTTGAGAAGATAATCACCCTGCCCGGCCATATTGGCGAGGCATACTGCCTGTCCGTGTCGCCGAATGGCCGCTATTTGGTCAGCTGCGGTTCGGATCGTACTCTGCGAATGTACGAGCGCACCGAGGAGACAATCGTGCTCAAGGATGTACAGGAAGAGGAGCGCGAGCAGCTGGAAAACGAGAAACTGGCCACCGGCGAGGATAATAGTGTGCCGCTCTTACCAGGCTTAAAGCTGCCCTCGCGCAAAACTGTTGGCTCCGAGCAGGCTGCCGAATCCATCATGGAGTGCCTCGAAATATCAAAACAATTCGAGCTGGAGGCCGACGATAAGCCCGAGCTGCATCCGTTGATGCTGGCGCTGCAAGTGAAGAATCCAATTGATTTCCTCGTTACGACACTGATTCGCATACGCACCTCCGACATGGAAGAGGCGCTGCTGCTGTTGCCCTTCTCGATTGTGTGCGAACTGCTCGAGCGTCTGCCCGCGCTAATTACCCAAAGACCCGACGAAGTGGAGCTGCTCTGCCGCGTAACCGTGTTTCTGTTCAAGGTGCACATGAAGCCGATTGCGGCAGCCAAATCCATGAAGCCCCTGCTCATCAAGCTGCTGGGCCTGCTCAAACACGATGTACAGCAGCTGCGCGACACCATGGGCTACAATCTGCACGCCTTGGCGCTGCTGCAGACGGACGTGGAGCAGCGCGAAGGTGTCCAGCTATTCCGGGACGCCACGCTGGCGCGTCGCCAGCAGGAGAAGAAGCGACGCGCGGCCGCCAAGCGGCGTATCCAAATTCAAATGGCGTAAACACGTTTATAGGATAGGACTTTAATTTTACCAAAATCGAATCAATAAAAATACATTTTATTGAAACATCGAGGAGCACTTGCAATTTTCGTTTGTATGCAGCAATAATAAACGCGTTGAGTGAGTTTTGGGTGTGTGGTTGTGTGTGTCTGTGGATGTGGAAGAGTCGAGCATTTAAAATTGCTGGCAAAAAGTGTCCTCATTTGTATATGCGACCTCTTGTATGCTTGCCAAAGAGTTGGACTTGAAGATTTTGAAACGACATATAACATGAAACAATTAGGACGGGGCGACGGCACTTGTGTCGGCACGAGCAAGCAAAACATATTTCCGGTTCAACAAATGCCAGCCTTTGGATAGCAGCCAGCATCGGCAGTGCCGGGACCACAAGGACCTGTAATATCAAGATAAGTTATTTTTATTATATTATTCGAAGCGCTACACTAATAGCTACACTCACCGCCGCAACGCTGAAAGGCACCCGGTGGTCCGTAGCTGAGCTTCTGTATGGTGCACTTCTCGATGGGCCCACTCGGCCGGCAATAGGATGTATACCGTGCCCAGGGCAACGGCTCCTTGGGCTGTACGCAGTTGGGCAAGTAACTCAGCTTGTAGGTGGTGCAATTCTCCATTGGTCCATCGTTGCGACAGAAACCCTGCCGCGGCCTGACGGCATCCGGTCGTGGGAAACAGGTCACATCCACCGGCATATACGACAGCTTGTTGACGGTGCAGCGCTCCATAGCGCCGCTTGGACGGCAAAACGCTGTCAGCGGCATTATGGGCGCACGGCGCACATGCGGCTTCGGCACAAAGTCATGCTTCTGCGTTGTCATCGCGTACAAGGGTCCATCAAAGCGCAGCCCATTCTCCATGGGCCGTATCGGCGGTGTGCGCTCGGTGCAATTGGGCTGGTACGACAGCTGCAAATGAGACGCTAAATATTTATTGGATGCACAATATGAAAGACAGAAATGGATGGAACAGACTCGGCAATACACTGCTCTAACTCTGTAATATCCTCGAGATTTGCTATGATCATTTAGAAAACTTGTTGGAATATGCTAAAGGGGGTAGGGATCACGCGATCGTGTAGATGCGACCCAAGCATTAGGATCATTGAGATGCCGATCCACTTTTTATCAACCTATGAGGCTCAAGGAATAAGCCACTTCGGTAATAAAATTGGGACTTTTCACAGATCAAACGGAAAGAAAAATATAAGGAACACGGCTGGACCTGGCTTGAAACATTAAGCTGGCGCAAAGGATAAAGATTAAAGGAGATGTATCTTCTAATAAAATACCTCCACCCCTGCAAAGAAAATATTCTTTGCCGAATACCTACAATCTAATATAAATATTTATGTATATATTTATCTATATGTTATACGCACCTTTTGTACGGTGCACCTTTCCAGTGGACCGGTGGCTCTGCGGAATGTGTCCCTCGGCATAATGGGCGCCGGTTTGGTGCGGGACGCATCCACCGGCCTATAGCTTAGCTTGTAGACAGTGTTTGCGGCGCCGGCATCGTTGCCCATGAAACGCAGCGTGTTCATTGGCAGCATTGGGGCAGTGCGTCCGGGATTGCAGTTGGGCATATAGCTGAGATTGTAGGTGGTGCAGACGTTCTGATAGTTGGGCGGCACGCAGCGCACCTTGTCCGCCCAGGGCGTCGGCTCCCTGGGCGGCAAACAGACCGGCATATACGATAGCTTCTGTATGGTGCAGCGCTCCATTGGGCCAGCCGGCTTGCAGTAGTGCGAACTCTGCTGCATTAGTTTGGGCGGCGGATTCTGGCACACATCTACAGGCATATAGCTTAGCTTTTGTATGGAGCAGCGCTCCATTGGCGCCGTCGAGGAGCAGATGGCGACACGCGGCAAGCAGGGTGAGCGCTTCACAATGCCCTTGGGCACGTAATCGTGTTTCTGGGAGGTCATCGCGTAAATCGGACCTTCAAAACGCAACCCGCTCTGCATGGGCAGTATGGGCATGGTGCGCGAGGCCGGACACGGCGGCATATAGGACAACTTCTGCACGGTGCACTTCTCCATCGGCGCCGTATTGGCACTGATATGGTTGCACGGTCGCACAGGTCGGGCGCGAAGATTGTCGCCACAGTTGCCATAGTACGAGCGCCGATAGACGGTGTCGGTATCCAGCGGAGCACTGGAGCGCATAAAGTGCGATTGTGGAATAATGGGTAGTGTGCGCGCCGGCTGCTGGTAGCAGCAGCCGGAATAATCGCCGCAGTCGCATGGCTGGCAGGATGCACCGGGCGGGCAGGATGGAAAATCAGCGGGCGCCTGGCACGGATCGCACGACGGATCACCCATAGCTGCCCGTCTGCTCAAAATGTAAAGACCTGGCTTTGCTTAATCTGCGAGGGATGCGCCATGGATTATCTTACTGGAACTCTCGACTTCTTTCACCTACTTACCTGTGTGGGTTAATCTATGAACCAAAGTGCGTAAGAAATATACAAAAAACAAAAAGAATTGGCAATTGTTAAAGGAAATAATTTTGTTTGCTCCGAGTACAGAATAATAATTACTGTATTGTTAACACATCCGAAAAACGAAATAAAAATTTTGCTTTGACATTCAACGACGAAGGTTTTACAGTTTGTAATGCAGAAGCAAGTGTAACAAAACCCAGACATCTAGAAGTCGGAGTCACAGCCTACTTAACTCTACGATCTGAAATATTTTCCACTTTCCAAACCCAATTGTGGGTAAACTGATTTAAAAAAAAAACAAGGATTACAACATAGCCGCGAGTGCTTTGAAAATCCTTTTCATTATTTACGAATTCGCAGGCTGTGCATCTTTTTTGTGCTCTTGGGCCCACACCATGGGCAATTGTGTTCTTGATTAACTTCGGTGTTTATTGTCCGATCTTTTTGCATTTTTCAGTGCATAAATATGTTATATAAACGTGTATGAATACCAAAACACAGAGGGACATGGCTTCATCGACAAGGTCGTTAATGCTGACCAGGAATATATATAATTTATGGTCCAGGCCGGCTATCATTAATTCTCTAATTAATATGAACTAAAAGAAGATACTATTCGCGAGTCCCAGGCAAAACGGGTGGTATTTCTAGCACATAAGCATATTTTATGAGAAAATAATAATTAATGCTCCCGTAATTAATATTGTCGCAAGAACTGTAGGAAAAACCAGATGATTTCCCATAAAATGAAACAATATATGTTAGCGAATTTATGAATATTTTATTTTAGGGCCTCCTTTGGTCGAAACTGCACACTGCCGAACCCATAATTCAGTTGGTAGCGTCTTTTTCTCAGCACCTCGGCTGAGTGGGAATCGATGGACAGGGCCAGTTTCATGGTCGGACCCCTTTGGGCGCGATGCAGGACGCGCCAGTCGTTAACATCGAGACCCTCATTTTGGCCATCGATAAGTCGCAGCGTGTACTTGACTGATGTGCTCTCCAAGGCCGGAAAGAGGCCAACGAATACCTGTTTGAAGGGAACTTCCGATTCCGGTATGACTTTCAGGGATGCACCCTCCCAGGGGCGCAGTCTGGTGTCCATGGCCATTAGCCAGTTTACGGTACTGACATTGTTGCATCTTACAGACATCCAGCCCTGCCGAAACATACAGCCCGAAAATCTGGGCTTCACAGAGCCCTCGTTCTGGCGCTGCACGAGATCAATAATACTTTTTTGCACCGCGTCCAGCTGCGGTGTAGTCCACAATTCGCTTGGATAATCACCAGGCAGAATAGCCACGTTGAGATTGACTATATCGCGGCTCTCGACATCAGCTTGCTCCATGCCCGATAGTCCGCTTCTGCCATGGACAGGCGGCGTGTCGACGGGTGGAATGGCATTTCGTGAATGCATTGGAGCGACTCGTAATACGGGTGCACCGAGTCTTGCTTGAATGGGTGTCCGGCCGAATTGTGTGGCAGCGGGTACTGGGCGCACCGATGAGGCAGGTATTTGATCAGGTATTCGTGCAGGTTCTGTCCAGTCAGTGCCAGTCCTCCTGTGGCCTGTGAAGGGTATATGCTCGGCGCGGCTGTAGTGAGGCTCCACGGATAATTGTTCATCCGGCGGTTTCATTCTGCTGACACTTTCCGTTTCAGTTGCGATCCTCCGAGTGTGTGGCTTGCGTGGATATATTGGAGTCATTGCTTGCACTTTGGCCTCCTCCACGCTCAAGCCCTTTTTGAGTAGATAATGGAATCGCTTGCGGGCAGCGCCGCTAAAGCGAAATCGATCTATTTTGTTTGTTTGGTTTGTTGGATTGTTTCTTGTTTGGTTAATTTGTTGATTGTTTAAGTTCATAGTTTGGATTCCCACGAGTGTAGGGGTCGGGCAGGTCCACCGTGACATAGCCCCCAGTATCACGGCAAGGCATTTAATTACAACCGGAGGACGCCAGGTATCCGGAGGTCACCGTTCGAAGACAGCATTCACGCAGCTGCCATTCAGCCCGCTGGCACGGTTTCGACTAACACCAGGGCTTGCGGGTTTTATCGAGTTGTCCTCTCTAGATCCGCCATATTTTGTCAACAGCAGTAGCACCTCGGGCAGGATGTGGCACGTTAGCCACGTATGGTCGGTCTTAGGCAATCTGACTGCCTCTGCCTGCGACTGTGTCTGTATGTTTGTTGCCGGAAACACAGTCTGCAGCGCTTGGCTACCATATATTTGAAAGATTTCCAGCTCGATTTTCATCATTTTTATTTATTTCAGTTCATTGTATCTTGACATATTTATGATTAGTTGGCTGATATCTAGTTAATTCCTATTGCTTACATGGTAGCTTTTTAAATAGCACTTGATACGTATTTTAATATATATATTTAAAGATTTTGCATCAATTGGAAATGGTTAATGGGCCTAACTAAATAGCTAACTAAATTAGACGACGAAAAAAAAACTGTGTTATTGTGTATAATTGGAAAATTTGTTGCTTTTGTGTTTTGTTTTAATTACAATTATATAAGGATCCATAGATCATCACGCGAAATCATTTACAATGCACCAGAACCTAATCGAATACTTTGAATAATCTATCAACATGTAAATTACATTAACAATTAAAGGGAAAAACAATTATTGGATCTTAAAAAAGTTGTCGCGCACTGATTAATCGGTAGCATTTTGATTTGGTGCCGTAAAACTGTTTTGTAAAATAACTCTCTTAAGCTCGAAACATAACGCTCATTTATCATATAGATATATATATATATATAATTAATTGTGTTGCTTTGTGAAGATGTGTGTGCCGGTGCGTGTGTGCGGGTGTGGGTTACCAATAGGAAATACAATATGTTTCAGTTCCAACGATATCTGCTGCTTCTTTCTTATCGACATATATTCCTTGTATATAATATATAGTTGCTATTTCCTGCTTCCTAATGATATTTTCAAATATACCTTCACAGCGTGGGTAGATTGTCGGGCACATACTCTAGGAAATTGGCCGGGAACTGGCCCTGCCGTCCGTCCACCTCGCCGTACAGCCAGTCCTCGTTGATGCGATAATGTACGCTCACCAATTCGTTTTCCTGCAAGGCAAAGCATTCAACATCCAAATTAATATTCAATGTACGGATTTTGACAATTTGGAACAAGCCAAACGCAACATTAAAAGTTCGAAATCAGTTTCTTTTAACTTACTCTCAAAGCAAGATCTCCCTCAACCTCACCGGGGAAATTGTACAGACAGCGAGCAATCGGCAACTGTTGATGTTGTTGTTGCTGCTGGGACTGTGTGTGCGGCGTTTGAGTGGGACCTGCTGCACTTCCGTTCAATGGCACCTTTATTTCCACATAGTTCACCGGAAAGAGGCCCTCACAGCCGGAACGTGTGCGTCCGCGCAACCATTCTTCAGTTGGCTGTTCCAGCAAATATATTCTCTCGTTTTCCTGCAAGCAAACATGTGTAATAAAAAGACTGCAGCAACTCAATGTACTGAGATAGTTACCCTGAAACTAAGGTCCCCCTCCTCGACGCCATCGAAGTCATAGAGCGCAATGGCATATGGCTGCTGCGTCTCCTCAACGTAGCCAGAGCTGCCATTGCTCAGGGCCAGAGCGTCCACCTTGCCCGATATCACATCCAGCAACGAGATGTTGCCAGAAGCAGCTGAGGTAGCGGCTGCCGCGAGCGGCGGAGGAGCGCCCTTGGGCATGGGCGGCGAGGGTGGTGTGCTGCAGCCGGCATAGGCAAATGCTGGCGGCTGGCCAATAAATGGTGGCGGCTTGGGCGCCTTGGGCTTCTGCGATATTTTCGGCTTAATAATGGTGGGCATCGTCAGCGACTGGGTCGGTGGCAGCAGACTCTTGCCGTTGCACAGCGGATTGTCCGAGCTGCGTTGAGCTGTGAGTTGAGGCTGCATTTGGCGTACGGGTGCCGCACCGAAGCTATCGACGCCGACGCCGCTGTAGATGCTGTTGTCCACCGCCTCCCAGGGATCCACCAGCGGACTCTGTGTGGCAGGCCGCGAGCGTGCATGATAATCATCCTCGAAGCCGCTCTCCGGCTGCGAGACGCTGCCATTGTTTGGTGAACTAAAATTGCTGTCCGAGCTGAAGCTATCGACGCTGACGCAGTCGCTGTTCGATTTCTGTGTGAAAGTGGGTGATGAAGGCGGCGAATCAAAACTGATCAGCTGCGCCTCCGTCTCACGCTGGCTGCTGCTCGAGCTTTTCGTTGTGCTGGTCGTTGTTGTACTCGCCGTGTTCCAGGCCGCATTCCAATCGTAAACACTTGAGCTAGTCGCATAGCTGCTGGCAGCAGACGCGGCTGCAGATGCAGACACAGTCGTCGTCGTGGAGGACACGGCATGGCCGCTGCTCAGGCCGTAGACGCGACTCTGCACTGCGGCCTTGGAAGCAGCGGTCGTTGCCGTTCCCGATGACTTCTTGCGATGGAAAATGTTGCTAATAATCCTGCTGCTGCTGCTTCCACCACCGCTGCCACCGCTACCACCACCGTTCCCACTGCTCAAGCTGGCCAGCTTTCGGCCATTTATCTGAACTTTGGGCGGTGGCGGTCGAGGCGGCGGCATTTTCTTGCAATTGTTGCCATTGAAAACCGCACCGGCTGGATCGAAGGGCGCATCGTTCCAATTGGTTGCCGGCGTATAGCGCGCTTGGGGAAACTTGCGCGTTATGCTGGACCCGTTCGTGTTGCCCTCCACATCGAAGTAGTTGTTATTGTTAGACTTCTTATGCAAAGGATTCTGCTGCACAGAGCCCTTCGGCGGAGGCGGCAGCTTGATGCTCAACTTCTGTAATCCGCCATGCGACGCCTGCTGCTGCTGCAGATGCTGCTGCTGCAGATGCTGCTGCTGCAGTTGCAGACGCAGCTGCTCCAGACTCGCATTCGCACCAGCTGCAGCATTCTGGCTACGTGACACCGGCGGCGCTGGCGCTGGTCTCGACGGTATAGTCATGCTGCCTGCAATTGCAAGAGGGCAAGCAAAACAATGAGTCATATGTGTCATATGTCAAAACTTAATAAATATCAACAAGATGAACGTAGCGGCCACTCGACTGATCCAGAAAAGTGAATTGTTTCTTTGAAGAGGGCGCAGAGATCGTCAAATGACCATTTTATTTAGTTAATA